TAATTCCAATTAGCAATTTTACTCTTAAATTATTCATAATAACTAATATAACACTCCATTGAATCTAATTAAATGATAATAATATAAATAACTTTATTACCCTTGGTAGGTGTTAGCCAATCTTGGATAATCAACTCTCCGTTGGTTATTTCTCTATTCACTTTAGTTTTTATGTGAGATCTCTTAGGTTCACTGTGGCCTAGCCGTGGGCCCAATATCATAGTCTATTTCGATATGTTTTGTCATAAATCTTTTTGAACAAAACTCGCACCGATTATGGTAGGCATCTAGCAATGCTCCATAACCCCTAAGTCACAATGAAGATATACTCCAACGAACTCTTTTACAATCATATGCATTGTATAGTCAAATCCTTCCGTTGTCTAATCCCAATTAAGAATGGATTCATGGTATGTCAAAATCTTTATCTTAATTTTATATCAAATTGACAATCAATACTTATGGAACGTGTCACCGTGAAATAACCTTTCAAGTAACATTTTATATACCCCAGTCGGAGATTTCCCTTTTCTAATGTATCTTGACATTTGTCTAGGAACTTGATATCAATCTATACCAAGTCAACAGATCTCATCTTGACTATCACTTGTCCTCACACATAAACAACACATGGCTAAATCGGCTTATTAACACATGACATGATTAGCCTCGTGTTTATACATCATACGAACCCTATGCCTTTAGGCAAAATCCAACCGTAATATCTCAGGTCTAAGGATTAATAATACACTAGTACGATCTTATGAAAATCATTGATTACATTTTAAATGTCCATGTGATTCATCATAATGGTCATATTTGATAAACAGTTCACTAACCGCTTATCCATGCTAATGCCCTAGTGATATAACTTTTATAATCACTCACACTAATACTATCACATGATATTCTACGGAGGCATTCAGCATGCCTACTATGTATTATTATTGCCCAATTAATATTACCTATGTAGGGAATACTTTGATGATTTTGATCTTCTAAAGTTTTATATCATCCGGACATTTCACATGTAATACATATATATAAATGAAGCAATAAACCACATGTGAAATAAGAACACTTTCTTTTATCAATAAGATAAAATGTATATACAAAATATATACATTAACATATATATACAAAACATAATGCCTTAGAACCGACGACACGATTGGTTCCTAGGGCATACGCTAACAAAACTACCACTTGCACTAGAGCCAATCGTTGTGGTATCTAATACCCATCTTCTCAAGATGATGATCTAATTGCTTTTGTGTCATTGCTTCAGTAAGTGGGTCAGCTACGTTATCCGCGGAAGGTGTTTTCTGCACCAAAATTTCTCCAGCTTCAAGAAGCTTTCTCAAAATATGATATTTACGCTGAATATGTTTTGATTTCTAGTGTGCTATTGGTTCTTTTGCTTGTGCAATAGCACCATTATTGTTGTAGAACAAGATATTGGATAACTCATGTTCGGAACCATGTCAAGTTCAGTTACAAATTTGTGTATCCACACACCTTCTTTTGCTACTTCTGAAGTGGCAATATATTCAGCTTCTAAAGTGGAGTCGACAGTGGTCGACTGTTTGGAACTTTTCCAACTAACTACTCCTCTATTACATGTAAAGATGAATCCGGATGTAGACTTTCTATCATCCACATCTGACTGAAAATCAGAATCTGAGTATCCCTGGATTTTCAATTCTGAACCTCCATAACGCAGTACTAAATCTTAGTCCTTCTCAAGTACTTAAAGATTGTTTTAACTGCTGACCAATGTTTCTCTCCTGGATTTGATTGATATCTGCTTGCAATACTTATAGCATAGGCTATATCAGGCCTTGTACATAGCATTGCGTACATAAGGCTATCTACAGCTGAAACGTAGGGTATATTACGCATCCACTGTCGCTGCTGATCAGTGTTAGGACTCATATCCTTAGAAAGATGTAGTCCATGACCGTAAGGTAAAAAACCTCTTTTGGAGTCTTACATGTTGAACTTTTTCAACATTTTCTCTATATACATGCTTTGAGATAACCCTGTCAATCCTTTTGCTCGATTTCTATAGATGCGAATTCCTAGGATGTAATTTGCTTCTCCTAAATCTTTCATTGAGAAAGCTTTTGGCAACCACATCTTAACTTCAATCATCATGCTAATATCATTTCCCATTAATAATTTGTCATCTACATATGATATGAGGAAAATCGTGACATCATCTTTTACCCACTTATATACACATGGTTGATCCGCATTCTTTATGAAACCAAAAGTTTTGATCATTTCATCAAATCAGATATTCCAGCTTCTAGAAGCTTGCTTTAATCCATAAATAGATCTATGTAAGAACATTTTCTTTTATTGATAAGATAAAATGTATATACAAAATATATACATTAACACACACACACACACACACATATATATATAATATAATGCCTTAGAACAGATGACACGATTGGTTCCTAGGGCACACACTAACATCCTCAAGTCAATAGCCCTCACTATTAACTCGGGAAAGCCCATTGGCTTTCCTAGTGGATTGAGATCCCATCTGGCCCATTTAAACCTTCGCTTTGTCGAACAAGCCAAAATTGGTTGATTAGGTAAGCCAACAAACTTAATCCACATCAGTTGATAACTCCCACTATCAACCTCAAACGTGAAGAAGCCAACAAGCCAATCACACAATCCAATGGCCTAGCCATTGTCCTTAAGTGTGATTCTTAGTATAGTAGAGTGGACACTACATGTCGCCACGTACACATAACAAGTGTACTTCTTTACTTTGCCTATGAGTCGTTTATCAACCTTCGCTTTGGCAAACAAGCAAAACAATCATTTTAAGTCGACCCATCACCATTAAGGAAAACTCCAATGAATTTTAACCTCCCACTAGTAGAGTGTACCCTTCGCTTTGGCAAACAAGGTTTCGACGAATAGTGGTTTGATTAAAACCATGGTGATGGAAGTAGGGGTGTTCGGTTCCGGGTACCCTGCATTTTTTTAAGGAACTAGAACCGGAACCGAAACAGACGGTTCCTTGAAAATTTGGAATCGAAACCCTAGTTACCCTAAACTGGAACTTGTAACAACGGTTCCGGTTTCGGTTCTGGGTACCCTATAAAATTACCGTGACCCCCCAAAAGTTTTTTAAATGACAAAAAAACCCTTAAAAACTTACAAATACCCCCCACTTGGAACTTGTTAACAAAAATAAAATTACAAACTCCATTACTTTGTAAAGATAGATTCTCAAAAGTCAAACCAACTTACTTTAAATGTTATGAAATATAAATATAAATGTATTCACATTACTTTTTCTACAAAAGTTTTTATTGACCCCCTACTCTTTAATTTTATTTTATATTAGTCTCGGTTCTCGGTTCCGGTTCCTAACTATAGGAACCGAAACCAGAACCACACAGTGACGGTTCCAAAAATTTGGAACCGAAACCTACCCATTGACAGCCGGTTCTGGGTAGGAGCCAGAACCAAACCCCGAGTACCCACGAGTTCCGGTTCCAATCGTTCTTTTGAACACCCCTGGATGGAAGGCATACATGACTTAATATACTTTAATTGAGGGTTTTATTTAATGTCTCACCAGATTATTATCTTTGTTAGAATGACATTGTTGGGCATGTTATTGAACATTCAACATTAACATGTATTCTAAACAAAATATTAAACGTGCCGGTACATGGCCCAACTAAAACTGATTTCCTCGAGCCTAGAGGAATCGGTAGGTCACCTAGGAACCCTGCAATAAAATCTTGAGTCTTCAAGTGATCGTCTCTTCCTTGATATGTGTTCAAATACATTACAAAAACATCATTCTAAATTTACAGTGAAAATAATTATACAAAAATCTTTACATCAATAAATTTAGAAACCTCGATTTACATTCGAGGGGAATGAGATAAGAAAAGAATGTACATTGAGAAGGGGAGAAAGGCAGGACACGCATGCCCTATTTAAAAAATTACAACCATACATACCCAAAAATTTTAAAACATTCACTATATGTCTAAGGCTCATGTACCGGGCACCATGCAATATTCAAGTAAGTACATTGCATACATTAAAAAACAATCAATTTTTGAATTGGGTGGGTGAATTAATAATTACCCTCTGACAATTTGCAGATCTATGTTTGGTCCAAAAGTTTTGAAACTTTTCACTTTGGCCTAGTGCACTTGAAAGTACGCTCTCCGTGGTGATGGGTTATATCGTTGCAACGTGCGCTAGTCATCGTCACGCACGTGTCAATATGAGATCACCGCGACGATATGTTATATCGCTGTAGCGAGCACGCACTTCGTCAGTCCTCACGTTGGACTATGATTGCCGCGACGATGGGTTATATCGTCGTGGCAAGCGTTGAGTTATCAATCAACGCGTATGATAAGTTATATCACCGTGGCAAGCGTGCACTAATATGTAACGAATCAGTTCAACCAGCCACATAAAAATACGCCAAACGGATTTTGCAATCAATCTCATGATCTGATCTCAACAAAAATCCAATTCCCAATTTACCAATCTTGCAGATCATCAACAAATTAATTAATCAAGTATATTGAATCAATTGATTTCCCAAAACATGCTCTCAAAGCAGAATTCGTACAGATTTAACAAATCAACATGTTATCAAATAAACATTTAATACTGTTGTCAAATCGCGTATCATATCGTGTATCAAAAACCTAATTTTTTGAATCGTGTATCGCGAATCGTATCATATCGTAGGATACGCATTTTAAAAAAAAATAAAAAAAAAATAAATTTTTCTAAAAATTAATATCATCCCCAAGATTAATTAACGAATTTTGTGATACTATTGGCTTTAAATTATGGTATTACATAATCAAAATTAATCACAAACTTAAGAATCTATATCATTTCCTCTCAACCATTCATATCATTTTTAAGATCAATGTCAATATCTATATCTCCACTAATGTTATTATTATCATGCAAAATGGGCAACACACCTTCCTCTTCTCTTTCTCCATCTTCATCACAAAAAATGGGCCATACATCTTCCTCTCCAATAACTTTTTCTTTAGCTTTTTTGTTGCTAGCATTCAAGTTCCTTAGTCCTATAAAGAAATCATCAAACAGTCAATATACATAGTACATTCAATTTTTTATTAAAAGAATTGCTAGATTAATATCAAATTAAGATATACCTCTGGCTCTTTTATTGCTAGGAGCACCTTCATCTATGTTGAAGCATTCTTGAACATCCATCCATGAATTATCATCCAGCAAGCAAGGATCTTCTTTTTCCATAGTCCACTCATCATCGGATTCTATGTCCAATAAACATATTGGATCATATGCCACTCCTTTCTCCTCCCTAAGCTTTTGCCTCATTTCTAATTGAAGGTTATATTTAACAAAGACAAGAGCATTCAATCTTTGTTGCTCCAAACGATTCCTTCTTTTAGAATGCACATGTTCGAAGGTGCTCCAATTTCTTTCACAACTCGTGGCACCACTACATGTAAGGATTAAGACTTTTATGGCAAGTGTTTGCAACTTTTGCACTCCTCTCCATAGCTGTCCCACCATAAAGCAATTTTTTAAAAAAAGTAACAAACACATTACTAAGTTATAACAAAAAAAAAAATGTAACAAACATATAAGCAAACATACCCGGTTGTTTTTTGTCTCTTGTTATTATGGCCATATCCATTCCAAATAATCCTATTCCTTTTTTAAACTTGTCAAGTTGAGCATCAACTTCAACTCTTGTTTCTACATCCGGATACATCTTCTCAATTACCTTGCACAATCCAATTTTAACTTCTTTGTCCGAATTGAAGTTCGGATCATAACGGTACGTAATATATAAAATCAACATAAATTAGATTTCTAAATTCAAATTTTCAAGCAATTTTTATATGGATTAAAAAAAATGATCAACACTTACTTAGGATTAAGGTAGTATGCCGCTGCATGAAGTGGCCTCTGAAGTTGAAAATCCCAACGAGTGTCAATTATCTTCCATATTTCTCTATATTGATGCTCCGCATTATTGAAATTCTTTGCAATTTGATTATTTGCTCTTCTCATGGCTTCATAGATGTATCCTATTGCTGGTTTCACATCACCATCTACAAGCCTGAAAACCTCCACTAGTGGATCCACACATTTCAAGGAAAATTGATGGATTTCCAAAATCTTGTATCACTCAAGATAAGATCCACCACTTTTTTCCCCTTAAATGTAGTAGCATGTGTACTATTTGCCCATTCTTTTGATGCAAACATGGACCTAAGAGCTAGTTTACTATCCATAATGCAACTCAATGTGAGAAAAGACGTTGCAAATCTTGTTATTGCCGGTCTTGCTAGCTCTTTATCCTTTGAAAATTTTCTATATAAATTAAGCACCCATGTATGCCTATAAACAAAACTTATGACTTGCTTGGCTTTTGCAATGGTGTCATAAAATACTGTAATCTTTCCAATATCCTCAAGAATCAAGTCAAGACAATAAGCCGCACAAGGAGACCAAAATAGCCTTCTCCTTTTCTCTTCTAACATTCTATCGGCAGCTACATAATTGGATGCTCCATCAGTTACCACTTGTACAACGTGCTCTTCTCCTATCTCCTCCACAACACTATCAAGTAACTCAAACATTTTTTGAGCATTTTTTATAAATTCGGAGGTATCAATAGATTTCAAAAAAACTGTCCCCCTTGGACTATTGACAAGAAAATTAGTCAGTGATCTACCCTTTCCATCCATCCACCCACCCATCTGACATTAATGTGCAACCATTCTTTTTCCACTCATTTTTATACTTTCCAAGTTTTTCTCCCACAAGATCAACCTCTCTCTTTAAATAAGAAACTCTTGCTTCATGATAAGTAGGAGGTTTCAATCCCCTTCCATAATCTCCCACTAACTTTAACATGTCAACAAAAAGAGGACTTTTAACTAAATTAAATGGTAATGCATTACCATAAAGACACCTACATATCCCTTGAATTACCTTTTCCCTATCCTTCACAACTTCATTTAAAGTTCTTTGCTTAGAGTTAGAACCACTTCCTTTTTTCCCCTTACTAAGAAAACTATCAATTTTACCTGTATTTGGATTAACATCTTGCTGTTTAAAAATGTCAACCATATCATTATCATCATCATCCTTATTAACTTTCTTTGCTACCAACAACTCTTGAAATTTCATCTTAACATCTTCAAGAACTTGACTACATGGCTTAACTTGGATATAGGTTCCAACAAGATGATTTTTCATTCGTATTACACCACCCCAATATGGTATACCACAATAGTTACATGTAAGATGCAATTTATTTTCCTCATTCACTTTTTTACAATGCTCCCATGTAATATCATCTAATTTTCCCTTCTTATTTCTCATGATTCAAATCTCAGTCTTAATCTAATGGACCAAAAGAGGCCGCAAAAAACCAAATGAAGAAGCATAACGTAAGGAAAACAAATCAAAACTCATATACAAGAGGTCTGTAAATTTGTTATCCATAAAACAATACAACTAGGAATTTCTTGGTATTCTCATAGTATATTATTTAATTGCCTCCAGTTGTATTCAACAATCTACAAAGATAAATCACTTTTTTATATTCTTAATGAACAAGACGAACAAATCAAGGTTTTTGTGATAATCAAATATGTAATGAAAAGAGAAAAAGAGTAGTTTACCTGAATCAATTCGTGTAGAACTTGGGTGACTTTTAACTTAATTGGTTTAATTGCTGACTGCTGAGGAGTGGGAACTGAGAGGCTGAGGTGCAACTGCTCTTTCACCATGAGTGAATCTAGCTAGGGTAAAATTAGGGATGGGTAATTTTGGGTGGGTTTTAGTGAACCGGGATCCGACCTGAATTTTTTTTTTTGGGCCTTAGGCCCAAATTAAAAAAGTCGTATCAATTTGTATTGATATTTTTAAGGATACGTATCGTATTGTAGGATACATATCAACGTATCGACAGGTTTGCGATACACCCTCTGATACGTGTCGTTGGTGACCCGTATGGAATCGTATCGTAGGATTCATATTGCATAACGTAGGATACTAACAACCATTATTACTGTAAATCGGGTACCCTAGGCTCTGATACCACTGTTAGGAAATGATCTAACCCATGGTAGCGGAAAACAAAAATAAAACAGTGATCGATTCCATTTTACGCCAAGATAAGGATACAAATATTAAAGATAATATGTTAAATCAAATATTCTGCAGTAATATGAACGATCAGAGTAAATATTAGAGTTCATACGTACGTTTGGAGGCTCCTTCAAACTCGTCTCTGACTGGGTTCACTACTAATTCAAAGTAGAATCGAACCAGCGGTACTCCACATGAAGATAACCCGAAGAGCTAAAGAGGGATTTGCTAGATCTTCTTTAGCCTTAAGAATCAAGAACAAGAATCAAATGAATTTGATTCATACAAAGTAAGGTGGCGTGGGGTAGAGAGTGGGCTAGAGCTTTTTCAATGAATATGATATAAAATGACTTAAAATGAAAAGTGTTATTTAATTCATAGAACACATGCAGTTATATATTGCATGTGAAACCCTATTCCACTTAGGAATAGGCTTAGACACCAACCCAAAAAACCCTTATGTCCAAACAACCCCATTTAGATATTTTTTTTAATTATTATTATTTTAATTCAATTCAATTAATATATATAACAATAACAATAACAATAACAATAACAATAACAATAATTCATTTAAATATATGCGTACACATATTTAAATAAAATCTCACATATTTAATTTTAATATCAAATTAAATAAAGGCAACAACCTCAACAAATTTATTACACTGTGAGATTACCAAAATACCCTTTCGCCTAAAAAGATGAAAACGCCATTTACACAAACTGATTATTAAATTATCTTTTATGTGTGTGACCTGTAGGCTCCTCATCATACCCGACAGTGTGTAGTGTTGTGATCAACACCAATTAATCGTCTCACTACACACATACCAAGATTGGCCTCTAGCAAGGTATCATGGCCACTCGATAGATTCGAATTCAGCGAAGTAGCTACCTATCAATAATATGGTTACCGTACAATTCAATCCTTTTATCATCTGTTATCTCATCGAGACCGAGACACATAAATAGTGTCAGCCTTAGTTACTCTCGATATGTATGTATTCAGTTACTAGACCAATAACTAGAATAATAAACTGGATTGAGCAATAACTCAATCCCACTGTGGCCACAATTTTAGTGTCATTGCCATTTACTGAATTATGCCGTGAGATAACTTCTCCCATACTCGGCAGTGATGAATCCTCTGTCGATCCACCATAGTCTTGATACACTCTTTGATGCAACCAATTACTACCGTATTGACAGCTTTGAATGGTTGGGCTAGTGTCAAACTACACCAATCAGTGCACAAGACGCTCCGATGATCTCAAGTCTAAGGATCACATGAACCACCATTCGTTAGAGGATTTGTTCTATAGACAATGGGGTTATCATCCATATGGAATCCTCTGGTGGGTTAGTCCAGTGAATTTGCCTACAGCAAGCACCTATGTATTGCACCAGGTTGTCACCAAACAACCTTGACAAGTGAGATCAGTCACTGCCTTTCGATAGGGTCGTTCAACACTATGATAGTCTCACCGTATTATCTATGTCCTTACTTTAGAATAATATTGGGGCTACGGACGTTTCTAGAATGGCCACCATATGTGCTCATAGGGTTCTCACCATCAAGATTTGAAACACTTGATACCTTCGTCACAGTTCTACCATTCTAAGGACATATATCAATAAATACGATATGATTTACGCGATATAGAATAAAATGTATTTTTATTGATCAATAAACATTATTACAAAGAGTCAATTCTACAATAATTGATTGACTCTAGGGCACATACTCTAACATCATATCGATATATGGGGTCCATATTACACTCCAAATCATGATGGGTCTAGGTTTTTCCTCACTATTGTAGATGATTTCTCTAGGGGCACTTGCATATTCCTTAGGCAAATAAAAACACAGACTCTCACTCACATTAGTAATTTCTTATCCATGATAACCACCCAATTCAAGTCATCAGTTCAAAGGGTTCGAACTGATAATGGTCGGGAATTTTTTAGTCATTAGTGCTCCTTGTTGTTGTTGTCACTTGGCATTTTACACGAAAGCTCTTACACCTATACTCCCCAACAAAATGGGGTGGTAGAAAGAAAACACAAACACCTATTAGAAGTAGCCAGAGCCCTAAAACACCAAGCCAACATTCCCATTAAATTTTGGGTAGAATGTGTGATCACTGTCACATACCTGATCAATCGCATGTCAACTTGTGTCCTTGGTGGCAAAAGTCCATATGAAGCATTGTTTGGTAAGGCACCCAAAAACAGTCATCTCAAAGTATTTGGTTGTCTCTGCTATTTTGCCATTATTGGGTCTCATGATAAATTCGGCCCATGGGCCACTCAGTGCATTTTTATAGGATATCCAATGTTACAGAAGGGATATCATCTATATGATCCCGTAGCAGATAAGTTTCTTATTTCCAGAGATGTCTTTTTTCATGAAGATAACTTTCCCTTTATTACAAATGCTGCCCTTCCAACTCCATCAACAAAGTCACCCATGTTTTTTGGAAATGAATCTCCAACAGGTCATCAATTTGCAATACTACCTACTACCAATTTGCCATCACTAAAAACTACACCACAACACCAACACTAATCTACTCTCACATCTCCACAAACAGACTCCCATCCATCTACTAACATACCCTCGACCACACAAATAGACTCTCCCGTCCCACCTTCCGTTTATCCTCAAAGACAGTCAACTCGTTCCACCAAACCACCTATCTGGACATCATATTATGTTTTCCCCACCCTACCAAATTCATCAGGTACACCTTATCCATCTTCCAATTATGTTACTTATGACTGCCTTTCTCCTACACACAGAGCTTGTATCAATCAGATTTCTGCCAACCGTGAACCATCTAGCTATTCAGAAGTTGTCCAACATATTCAGTGGCAGAAGGCAATGGCCGACGAACTGAATGCCCTGGCTCACAATAACACTTGGGATCTAGTACCTCGCCCTACTCATAGGAAACCCATTGGCTGCAAATGGGTGTTCAAAATCAAATATCAAGCGGATGGTTCAATCAAACGATATAAAGCTCGACTAGTGGCAAAAGGTTTCACACAACGGGAAGGTTTTGATTACCAAGAAACATTTTCACCCGTTGTAAAACATGTTATTGTAAGGTCATTTCTATCTATTGCCTCTGTTCGTAACTAGTCTCTACATTAAATGGATGTTCATAAGGCTTTTCTTCATGGTGATCTACATGAAGAAATATATATGGACCTTCCACTTGGACTTCGCAGACAGGGGGAGAACACAATATGTTGTTTGCGCAAGTCTCTCTATGATCTAAAACAAGCATCTCAACAGTGGAACGAAAAGTTCACAAAGGCTCTTACAAACATTGGTTTTGTACAATTCAAGCATGACTATGCCCTTTTCTCCCAACACAGAGGAGAATTTTTTATTGCACTCATCATTTATGTCGATGACATTTTATTCACAAGAAACGATGAAGAGGGAATCAAAGGTTTGAAGGTGCATCTCAATAGGCATTTTCGAATAAAAGATCTTGGTGAGCCAAAATACTTTCTAGGGATTGAAATTGCCAGATCTCAAACAGGCATTTCTTTAAGTCAACAAAAGTATGTTCTTGAACTTATATTAGACTCTGGGTTAGCAGCATGTAAACCAAAACGTTATTCCAGTCGAGCACAATATCAAGCTTACTACTCAAGAGTATGATAAAGGGACACCATCCTCAGAAATAGATCCACCATTATAAGATCCTTCACATTATCAAAGACTTGTTGGGCGATTAACTTATCTTACCATGACGTGTCCTAATATCAGTTACGCAATCCATATTCTCAGTCAATTTATGCATGGGCCAAAACAATCACACATGAATGCAGTAATGAAGGTATTCAAATACTTAAAAGGATGTCCTGGCTTGGGACTTCTTTTACCCAGAGATGGAAACTTAAACGTCACAACATATTGTGACTCTGCTTGGGCCATATGCCCCATGACAATGGAAATCTCTCACCAGGTTCTGTATAAAACTCAGAGGTGCACTAATCTCCTGGAAGACAAAGAAACAATCAACATTATCTCTCTCATCAGTAGAGGCTGAATATAGAGCAATGGCTAAAACGACATGTGAGATCTTCTGGATCCTTAGGTTACTAGGAGATTTGGAGGTACATATTAAGAAACATGTTCATTTATACTGCGATAACAATGTTGCAAATGATATTGCAACAAATCCAGTGTTCCATGAAAGAACAAATCACATAGAGATTGATTGTCATTTCGTTAGAGGAAAAATTCAAGAAGGAATAATCAAGACTCTACATATCCGCGCTTCAGAATAACTAGCGGATGTCTTCATAAAACCATTGTGTAGCAGACATCACTCTTATCTTCTTCACAAGCTTGAAGTTTATGACATCTACAAACCACAAGCTTGAGGGGGGTGATGGAAAATGATTATTACAGAGTGTTGTGCTCCAGGCTTAATTGAAGGCTGAAACTATTATGGCTTGACTGAAGGAATTACAGTTATTGATTTCATGTAATTACATTGATTATATTTGATTGTATTTCCATATTTTACACTTGTAAACTTGTATAAATTAGACACATTACAATACTGAAATATACAGAAAAGAAATATTCTTTCATCTTCTAGGTACTCTTTCATCTTTGTTCCTCTGCCTCTCTTGCCTATTTTTCTTTGCCATATTATGACACATAGAATACAAAAGCTAACAATGAAATCTAGCTAGCCAATTGGCCAAATTTATCTCATCAAACCACCGATATCTTTCATTCCTCTACCTGTACTCCATAAGCTACATGCACCTTCCAAGTGACGAACACCAACTGAACTGAGGACATGATCTACATCTAGTGCTAGAAAATTGCTAGCTGTCGCAGTGTTGGATGCACACCTTGCTTTCACTTTTGGCCTTGGTTCAATTAACCAAATATGATGAGAGACAAGGGAGTATACTTTTTTAAAATCAACTGTTTTCTTTTGAAATCCAAATATATATACACGACAGAAAGTTTAATTGTGACTTTAGGTTGTTGTGGGTGCAACTGTTTCCTGATTAACACTGTTATTGTTCAATTTCCTAAGATAAAAAATCATAAATCTGGACTTGCCGAATTGTTGAAGGTGAAGAGGTGGTGTTAACATATGACAGAGGCACAGGTGAAGAAGCAAACATATTTTTTTTTTTTTTTAATTAATCCAAGGGTTGATACAACGGTTAAGAAGGTTTGCTATTTTCGTTAACATTTTGAGTTCGAACCACCTTAGATAATCTATTACATTTGTGATTTATCTTATAATATTATATTTTATAAGGTGTTTTAATGACCCTCTTTACATATATATATATATATATATATATATATATAAAACAGCTATCCAGTATCCACTATTCCCAATTCATAATAAAAAGGTTTAAATATGCCTTTACAATAGGAAACTGATAACACACGTAAGGTGGTGACCGTCCAGACATTATAATTATTATTATAAAAAAACGACAACCGAAGCAGCACTTTAACCTTTAACAACCTGGAATTTTTTATTAAAAATTCAAAGCATATGCTAAATATTGAAAATTGGGTGTCCCCAGTTAAACAGATACACTTACCTACTGGTCATCACGCTTTCCAACCCATAACCCAAACATCATACGACACCAAAATCGTTAACCACACCAAAGTATTTCTGAATCACCCAAAATAACCCATCTTTTTCATGAGATTATGAGGTCCTTTCCGTCATTCGATTACCCTCCAAATTGCAGTTACACTTACACCCTCCCAAACAAAATATCTTACAAATAATTGCCCTCTCTTTTATATAATTTTTCCGTAGGAGTCGATCTCCTATATGCTCGCCTTCAGCGTGCTCGGGGTTTATCCGTAATTAACTTATCTGATAAGCCTATTTTTAACTCATTTGGTTCTTCACTGTCCGCCACTCTCCTTCTCACCGATAACGTCACCTTTTTTCGGCACGCCATTTCCAAACTCAGACACAACCCAATCATACAAAACTAAAGCCGGATGCCAATCGCTGAAGCTGAGCGGCACCGTGGCAGGGAACGACCGTCAACGTCGCGGCCCGCGGCCAGACCTCCGGCCCGAGCCAAGGTCCCTCTACGACAGCTTCTTAAAGTAGCTTCCGTGGCGTGTGGCATACAATTCGGTTGGGCTCTCCAGCTGTCTCTCCTAACTCCGTATGTGCAAGAGCTTGGAATTCCTCACGCATGGGCGAGTATCATCTGGCTCTGCGGGCCGCTTTCCGGCCTTCTGGTCCAGCCTTTGGTTGGTCACTTGAGCGACCGTTGCACTAGCCGATTTGGTCGTCGGAGACCGTTTATTGTCGCCGGTTCCGCTTCGATTGCTGTAGCTGTATTGCTAATCGGACATTCCGCCGACATCGGGTGGTTGCTTGGCGATAGGGGCGATTATAAACCCAGAGCGATCGCCGTGTTTGTGTTTGGATTCTGGATTCTTGATGTCGCTAATAATATGACTCAAGGTCCTTGCAGAGCTCTCCTTGCTGATCTCACTGGTATGAATTTCATTTTATTATTTAATGATTTTTAAGTTAAACTTATGAAATTAATCCCTAATTGAATTAGAGTTCATTTTATTTTTGTTTTTTGTTTTTAAAATTTTAAAAAATATTTTCTTTCCCTTTCGTTGGAATATTGCTTAATAATAAAAGCAAGGAGTTATCATGAAATTATATTTTAGTGCATATGATTGATGCTGGTTTTCTTATTTTTAAAGATTTTATTATTGCCAGATACTGTTTTTCACAACTTTATTTATGTTAAAATGACTATTTTGTCCTTAGAGTGTAGAGTTGTTAACTCTGTTTGTATTGTATAGTGTTGCTGTGTGCGCCTGACGAGGGGTTTGCTTTTATTTTTGGCATTATAATTATGTGTATACGGAGTCACATTGACAATGTCTTTCTTGAAAGAGCAATACTACTTTTACAAAGAAACATACAAAGAGAGCATACGAAGACAATCCTTGATTTTCATGATTTCTTTCTCTCTCTTTCTCTTTTTTCGTTTTTTCTTTATTTTTTTCGTTTGTAACCCTTTTTGTACGGGTATTTGTAAAGATAGCATTTTTCTTCTTGAAATTGAGAAACAATTCAGAATTAAGTTTTGTCTGAAGCAGAAGCATCGAATTAGTATTGACTGCAATGACTGGCTATTTTGAAGGATTAAAAAAAGCTTCGTGTTACAATGAAAAGACCTCTACAGAAAATGAACGCTGAGGGTATTGTTTTAAGTGATGAATGTCATTCTAAACATCTTAAAGGTCTATGCATTTTAAACCTCTGTTTATTTGTTTCCGTTTTTCTGTCAGATTATCTTTGTCATCTGACTACATTATCACCATAATGTGAGGAAGGATGCCTAGACAAACAGGGAAAAAATAATTAGTCAAGACAGGTCCTATCTTTATTTCTCAATCGGAAACTGAGCGAGGAATACACTTAGAATAGAACACAATTTTCCTATAAATGCTCATCACTCATGGTTTTCCTTTCTGTGAACAAATTCAGCCGCTGTGCATTTACATACTATATACAAATCAAACTAATTACGGATCCAGTTGAAAAGAAAAAAAACAAAAACAAAATTTACAAATCAAACAGCAAATTGACATTTGGTTTACGGCAATTTTGTCATGTTAGGGAATGATCATCGGAGGACACGAGTGGCAAATGCTTACTTCTCGCTTTTCATGGCTGTTGGTAATATTTTTGGGTATGCCACTGGATCATTCAGTGGTTGGTACAAGATTTTTCCTTTTACTCTTACCTCTGCATGCAATGCAGACTGCGCCAATCTCAAGTCTGCTTTCATTCTTGACATTATTTTTATTGCAATTACTACATTTATAAGTATCTTGGCAGCTAAGGAAGTGCCTCTAGGTTCACGTGACAGATCTGCTCCCTTTGCTGAAGAAGGGCATGAACACTCAGGCCAAGCAGAAGAAGCTTTTCTTTGGCAATTGTTTGGAACTTTCAGATATTTCTCAGGAACCATATGGATAATATTGTTTGTCACAGCTCTGACATGGATTGGATGGTTTCCATTTCTTCTCTTTGATACTGATTGGGTGGGTCGAGAGGTTTATGGTGGCAAGCCAAATGAAGGGCAGAATTATAATTCTGGAGTTAGAATGGGGGCGCTTGGTCTGATGTTAAATTCAGTTGTTCTTGGAATAACTTCAGTGTTCATGGAGAAGATCTGCAGGAAATGGGGGGCTGGTTTTGTATGGGGACTTTCAGACATCCTCATGGCCCTTTGTTTTCTTGCGATGATCCTAATCTCCTTTGTGGCGAAAAATATGGACTATATAGGCCATGATCTTCCACCAGATGGCATTGTTATAGCCGCACTGATAATCTTTACAATTCTGGGTGTTCCATTGGCAGTAAGTTACTCAGTTCCTCCTACTAACCGTGTATAAGTTATCTATAATATTAAATGGACAAAGAAACAATTGAAATTAAAACTTCTAGGTTGGACCCTGCTTTATCAATATATTAATGGCCTAGGCATTCAAAAGATCAACTGTTAATTAACCTGAACTTGGTGATCGTCTTAACTAATTAACCTAAAATATGATCCCTCAAATATATGCTTTTTAAGGAGTGTAGAAAAAATTGCAAGTCTTCTGGAGAAAGGCCTGTAGACTGAATGGGTTGAAATGAAATTTATTGATTTTGGCCTAGGAGATCATCCGCTAGATCAGACCCAAAACAGGTGGGACCTGACCTCTTCTGTAAAAGTGGCAGAGTGGTTAATTGTGCTAATTTTCTGATCCAAGGATTTTGTGGGACAGGGAAGGCAGATTAGTTACTGACATTCAGATCCAAGTAATTCTTTTGTGACTTAATGCAAAATCTCATTTCGTGATTGTTATGTGTGATTAAAACCTTTCATTGCAGATCACTTACAGTGTTCCATATGCCTTGATTTCTACACGTATCGAAGCTTTGGGACTTGGCCAAGGTGGCATTTCTTCTGTCATATTTATAGATTTTAATTTAGAGATGTGGCCAAGGGACTGCTTTTGATGATGGTTGATACTTGCAGGTTTGTCATTGGGCGTTCTGAATCTGGCAATTGTGATCCCACAGGTATAACATTGCTGTAACTTTCCGTTTCTACTGGCATTTATTAATTACTCATTCTTTTTATTTGTGCAATTCTAAGCTAAATTGACATAAGGTAATTATCCTGATAGCGGTAATTTCACACTGTTTCAGTTATTTACGAGAATAATATATGTACATACCTTTTCTAGAGGTCATGAATTTTGAATTTTAGTGATAGAACTCTTAAGTATATTGCTGCTTAATAGTAACTCAATACAGCTTAAAATTGGTTAACTGTAGAAGGTAATTGATCTAGGGTGTGTTTGAGAGTATTTTTGTAAGAAACCCTTTTTGAGTGAATGTCCTTTTAGTTAAAGTACTCAAAGGAACTTTTTACAGAAGCATTTTAGATTTTTTTTTTTTTTTTTTTTTTTTAGTAGTTTTTTTTTTTTTTCATAGAAAAAATCTATTAAGTGCTTTTGTAAAAAGTACTTAATATTTATTCCATCCAAATGGTACAAAAATGACGTAAAAGCTGTTTTGACAGCTTGAAAGTCTTTGGAAGTGTAAAAAACACTCATACACACCATTAATACCCAAACTAATATTATGAGGGAATCATGTATCAATACTGAGGGGTGAGGTTTCAAAGAAGTCATACTGTCCTCTTGCATCCTGGAGGCAGGTCTGTAATAAACTTGCATGCAATGACATTTTTTAACAAAGTCATAACTGGTCTGTTATTATGTCTTGATACCATGATTCGACCTGCTGGATTCAGATTCAAATTTGTCAGATCTTGGTGGGTTTATTATTTGCATTCCATTGTTGTACCTGTTTAGAAAAATGGGATGCAATTTCATTAAGCTCAACCTCTCCTTTCAAAGCAATCCCCTTGTTCCAAATATGGTTTTTGATTTCTGCATTTGACAAACTATTAATTTCTGATGATTTTAATTGAGATTTCATGTTTCAGTAAATCAATTCATGGTTCCACCCCTTGATTATCTCTTATACATTGAACATAAGGAGTTATTCAAATTTCTTATCTATATATTTCTGTTGTAGGAAATATGTTAGAACTGGTGAATTCCTCTTTTGCTATAGTTTGCAGTCCTTAGGTCAATGTAAGATAGCAATCTTATCTTTTGAACTGTCATTTTGTTTCCAAGAAAGTTTTTGAGATGACATAATAAACCACCGTCAATTTTCTTGAAGGATAGCTTTAACTTAAAGTTTGGAATTTTGATAATTGAAATCCAACTTCAAATTATTTGAATGAGGTTTGAAAAGTAGATAACTTGCATAAACATATATTTCTTACCTCTCCATTCTTCTGCTTTCTCTTGAAGTATAAATGTTTAAATGCTGACAGACTTTCATTCAAAACTTTACTTCTATGAAGTTCAAAACTTCACGTAATTGACATTTTCTGTTGAACAAGCATTGTATAGAATTCAGATATTATTTTTCCTATAAAAATGAAAAAAAGAAAAAGAAAAGAAAATTCAGATTTTTATGATTGGAAATGTTTGTAAATTGTATCTATTTTAGATGATATGGTGGGATGTCTATGTTAGTTTTCTCCAACTTTTCCTTCAAACCACCCACAGTACTGTAAGTACTATGTTATGTTACTGTCAAGAATGGTGAAAGTGTAGTTATTTCATAAGCTAAGTCACTTATTAACTCTGATTTTCTGATGATGCAAGTAATCGTGGCTTTTCCTAGATGAATGGGTATTAGTTTTTATTTTCTTGTTCATTGGGCAGCTTGATTCTCTAAGCACAAAATTGAAAATATGGACGCTTAGTTCATTAACCACTCAGAAAATTTTGGGAGGTTTTGGGGACTTAATTATGGTTTCTATGAAAATTCTGCAGAAGACTAAGCCTGATGAAAATATTTTTACATATCTGTCACATAATTGTTTTGATATATCTGTCACATAATTGTCGGAAACTGTGCTGGTCCACATTCCTCATTAATATTCATTTTCATTTTCGTGAAAGAGTCCTGCCTTTGGTGCAAGGCAATATTATACTTCTGAAATGAAACCTTATTCACTTTATTGCTCTTGAAACTCTTTAGATCAATTACTATATCAATTATAACGCTCTGGAGATGGCAATTCTTTTCTGTTGAATCTTTAAAAATTGGCAATATTTTTTTCCTTCAAGTGGTCTAATCTGTTAAGCTAAATCAATTATATTTTGCCTTAGAAGAATTGGATCAATTTGGAATTTTGTTCTGATGGATGGTGAATTAAGAAACAACTCATAACAAGGCAATGTAACGTGGATTTGTAGGCTCACCATGGTTTGATGCATTTCTGATCTCATCACCATGTGTTTGAACATTTTATAGCATGTTATTCAAACAAATGTATGTTTTCAGTATTTAGGTCATGACATTATGGTGTTTGACAACAGGTGGTGGTGTCCGTGGGAAGTGGACCTTGGGATCAGCTACTTGGTGGAGGAAACTCACCGGCCTTTGCTGTTGGGGCAATTGCAGCATTTGCTGGTGGACTTATAGGAGTCTTAGCTATTCCTCGATCTAGTACTCAAAAGCCCAGGGCCATGATTTGAGGTATCGTGTTGTATCCATATTTTTTGTACTATGTTTTATCAACACAGATACTTTATGTTAGTATTAGCAAGAATTTGTAAATAGCGATTGTTACTTCTATTGATTAATAAAGTTATTTGCTTATTACTGTTATTTTTCATAGAAACCATTTACTTGAGAGGTTTTCCTTTGAGTTTTTTCTTTCCTTTTTTCTTTTTTGGCATTCAAATTACAGGAGGATCTGGCCGCTGCTTTGTTCCACTTCTTGTTTGTGAACATACAAATTCGAATTAAATCAAAGTGGAATGTTCTTTAATTTTGCAAATTTAGAGTTTCTACAGATCATAAATTTTGCGTTGAAGATTTGATGAACACTATAACCAAACAATAAAGTTTAATATCAATCAGTGAGAAAGTCCGGGAAATCAAAGTCATAGGGTCTCCATTGTTATGGCAATTGTGTGACGCATGTGTTGGAGTAAAGAAAAACAGTTTTTGTAGTCTTTCTTTCTAACCCCAGATAAAGCAATATCGATGCATACACATTATAACAACTGAAAGGTAGATGTCATTTTAGTCACCAATTTATCAGTGAGACGAGCTCTCCAAAATGAATTGAGCATTGCTTCACCAGCACATCCTGGAAACGTTGCTGTACGGCTAATTGTCAAGGAAAAGTAAGTGAAGCATCAGTTGTAGATCCCAGTATTACTGCTAAGAGTACTTTCCAATCAAGATAAGCTGACTGAGATTTATTCTTGGTGAAGAACTTAAATATTATTTAAAGGCAGAGTTGATTGCCCACTGGTGGTCCTGACATGATGTATTGGAATCTCTTCTGTGTGCCTGAATATGTTGTATATATGAATGTGGTGAATTGTGCTTGGTGGCCAACAGTTAGTATGTGAGTTGTTTTGATTGAAACATTGATGGAGACAAGTCTTTTTATGCCCTGATTTTTTTATTTTTTATTTTTTTTCCTGAAAAGGTTCCATTTATTTTTATGGAAGACGTTCTTTATAATTGTTCTATCTTCCTTTTCTCCTCTTTCTCACTTGCATCTGAACCTTGGAATAAATTCTTGTGTTTATTGCACTTATCAGTATCTATGAAAGCCTGGTTTGCTTTAAATGCTCCCATGCAACGCATTCTATTTCTACCAAGGTCTGGGAAGCATTTAAACGTCCTGTCTTTTTTAGTACAAAATGCATCAGCAACTTGGTCTTCAATGTATTTAAAGACGTGAAAAATAGGGAACATAATTTCCATGAATATGATTGATCTGGAAAATATGAGTTATACTTTCTTGAGACATTATAGACATGTATAGTACATAGCTGGGTGGGAAACATAAAAGAGTATGGTGCGGGACATTATATATGGCCAATCCTTGCAAAAATCAAATGATGCAGAGGCAAGCATATTGCCACATTGCATTTACTGAAGTGAATTACAGATAGGAAGAGAGAGAAATTTGGTGGGTATCTCTGGGGATAATTTCTTCTCCTGAAAACCAAGCATCAACCGCCCTTTTCAGGAAAAAGAGAAATAAAGGTTGCGAAAGAAGGAATCTGTGAATTTGTTCGAGTTTCTAGAGAAGTATAATCTTTTATTAATGTCATATCTTGAAAGGTCTTGTCACTGTTGTATATCCCTTTCCTCCTCCATTGAAACTTGCATTTTTATTGTGTTTAGTTTATTATGATGCCCCCCCAAAAAAATTAAAAAAAAAAAAATAATCTGTCTGAACTCCACTACAACAACTTGGTGTAAAATGGTTTCCTAATTAACTGTACAAGCGAATGGCATCACCATGTGACACTGGAACATGTCAATATCTATTACTGCAATCTGGTGTGATCTATCTTTTGTGAGCCCCACTTCCGAATTAGGATTCTAAATTCGAAATGTCTTTAAAAATTATCATCTGAATAATTAATTTAAATCTTTACACTAATTTTTGTCCATTGGTTTTATTGCATGACACATACCTCTCATCAACGGCACCTCATTGAGCTGGAGCTGGAGACACATGGAATCTGACATGGTGGTATGGATTTCAGAGAAGTAATATCTTATATAAATAATAATAACTGATTCTTTAAGCACCTTAAACTCAAACTGAAACTGTGTGTGATTGACAGTAAAAAAAAGGGTTTTTAGCAAGGGTGATGGATGTAAGGGTGCTACTGTTTTGTTCACAGTCACAGACAGAGCCAAGGCTCTCTCCTACAGAGAGACAGTCTGATATCTGTTGTGAGAAAAGGGATACAAATTAAACGGTTGCAATTTGAGCACGTAATTGTCTTTCGGTGTTTCCTTTCTTCCATCTGCCTGTTCTCCATACAGCCATCTACTGTCATCTCCATTAACACAGATAGTGGTCCCATTCATAGCACAACACCTACCTCCACATACCCAATATCATTTCATAATCCCCTTTTCTTTTTCCTATAAACAATTTCGTTAATTTTCTTATATATGAAATCCAAAAACATCCATTACACTTCTCTTTCCCTTTACCCCACTTGTATTTTCATATTATGGGGCAGATTTCTGAGCTCTAGCTACTTCAAATTTTTTTGTCATACTGATCAGTAACGGGAGGTGCATGAAAAAGTTGAAGGTTGTGCATTATAATTACTGTGACCCTAAAGAAGAACCCCACATTGAAAGCGCAAACAAAAATAATTCTTTATTGTTTACAATGATTTTGTTTAGATTTAGGATCTAAACATATCTCTGACTCCAGAACAAATCTTAGCCATCTCTGTTCCACTTCTTAGATAAAGAAACTCTCCACCACAGATTATATGATTGAATATAATAATAATAATAATAATAACCATACCCATAGTTGAAGCAAGTGATCAGACAAAAGAAATGGGGCCTAAACTTGTCACCCCTCAAGTCGGGAAAGTAGTCGAGCGATGTTTTCATGTTGAAGTTTGTAGAAAGCAAAAGGTCGTGTCGGAATGGGTTTAATCACATGGGTTGTAGAAGAATGGGAACATGCATGGCTGCTTGCCTGCGTCTGAACATGCAAACATTTTTATCATCTGCCTAAGTCTAACAATCCTTAGATATATGCCTTACTCTTTTCGATCACAACTAGAAATCTCATTGCTTCTTTATCTACTCCACTTGGCAATTTTACATAAAACTTATTTCTTTTTTAATTTATCTCTTTTAGTATACAAACTAAAGAATATTATCCACTAAATTAAAAAATAAGTACTTTTTAACTTCAAGTAAACTAAAACCCACCACCATCAACTAAATGCCATAAAGGTCCCCCCATTATCGTTAAAACTTAAAACCAAACAAGTTTATGGACAAAACAGGTTCAGGCGGTAAAAAACAATTAAACCAGCCAATGGTTGTATGATCTGATCATATATAAAAATATAAGATCAGAAAGCTATCTGTGCTCAAAGGCTGAGGCTTTGTTCTCTCTCTTGAAATTAATATTATTATTAATACGAAGAGAGAGAGGGGGGGCTGCCCCTCACCCGCAACTTCCAAAGCAGTATACGCCCTTTTCTTATGTTATGTTCACCTCTTTTATACATTGACACGTTCCTCAGAACTCAAAACAGTCGGGCCCAACATCTCATGTATATATACACATATCGTCTTGCATACTTTAGCATTCAAAAACCAAAACCCATCAAACATAAAACATAAACACCCCCTCAGGCTTTCGTTATTCCAACCTTATTTACACTTCCGTCTCTTTATATCCTTAAGCTACCTACTTATGTGTAATTCAAAGCCTTCTTCGCCATCCTCATTTTCTTCTCACAATAAAACCCATTTTGTAAATCCCAACGAAAACATGGATCCTCACACAACTACTCATCATCAAGAAGAAGATCAACTAAATAGATGGCCAACTCCTTCTGAGGTAAAAACCATATATATGTTTGGTGTCACTGCTACTTGTTTATCGACTATATATATGACTCATTTTCTCTTCTTCTTCATTTTTTTTTTTTTTTTTTTTTTTTGGCATTCTTCAGGCCTTTGAAGAAATCAAAGCCATAGGGAAGATCTCTGGCCCAACAACTATCACCGGTCTACTTATGTATTCCAGAGCCATGATCTCCATGCTCTTTCTGGGGTATCTTGGTGAGCTTGAGCTTGCTGGTGGCTCTCTTTCCATCGGTTTTGCTAACATCACTGGCTACTCTGTAATCTCTGGCTTGGCTATGGGAATGGAACCCATTTGTGGACAAGCTTTTGGCGCCAAACAGTGGAAGCTTCTTGGCTTAACTCTACAAAGAACTGTTCTTCTCCTTCTCTCCACTTCTATTCCAATCTCCTTCATGTGGCTTAACATGAAAAGAATCCTTTTGTGGTGTGGCCAAGACCAAGAAATATCTTCCGTGGCTCATACTTTTATTCTTTTTTCAATTCCTGACCTCTTTTTCCTTTCATTGCTTCACCCACTTCGTATCTATCTTAGAACTCAAAGCATTACATTACCATTAACTTACTGTTCTGCTATCTCTGTACTCCTCCATGTCCCACTCAATTTCCTTCTTGTTGTTCACTTCAAGATGGGCATTGCAGGGGTGGCCATAGCTATGGTTTGGACTAATTTCAATCTCTTCCTCCTGTTATCTTCATTTGTATATTTCTCTGGTATTCATAAAGATTCATGGGTTTCTCTGAGCATGGATTGCCTTAGGGGATGGTCTTCTTTGCTTTCCCTGGCCGTGCCAACTTGTATATCAGTTTGTCTTGAGTGGTGGTGGTACGAGTTTATGATAATGCTTTGTGGACTTCTTGCTAACCCAAAAGCTACCATTGCTTCTATGGGAATCCTTATCCAAACTACCTCTCTTGTTTATGTCTTCCCTTCATCTCTAAGTCTTGGAGTTTCTACCAGAGTTGGAAATGAACTAGGTGCTAACCGGCCCGCAAAAGCCCGCATTTCAATGATTGTTTCTCTCTTTTGCGCGGTAGCATTAGGCCTCATGGCCATGCTGTTCACAACATTAATGAGGCACCAATGGGGAAGGTTTTTCACCAACGATGCTGAAATTCTGGAACTCACTGCAATAGCATTGCCAATTGCGGGGCTTTGTGAGCTTGGAAATTGCCCACAGACAACTGGTTGCGGTGTGTTGAGAGGAAGTGCGAGACCAGCAATAGGAGCAAACATCAATTTGGGTTCATTTTACTTAGTGGGTATGCCAATAGCTATGTTCATGGGGTTTGTGGCCAAAATGGGGTTTTCCGGGCTCTGGCTTGGCTTGCTTGCAGCTCAAGCTTCATGTGCGTTGCTCATGCTATATGTTCTATGCAGAACAGATTGGAAGGATCAAGTTGATAGAGCAAGAAAACTTACACAATCTAAGACAACAACAACAACAATTAGTAGCTCAATATTGCTAGTTTCATCACCAAAACCAGAAGACTCTCTCGTCAACAAGAAGGATAATCTTGAAGAGATATTGTGCATTAAAGATGAGCTAGTGAAGTCAGCGTCACTTGAAACAGACCCACTTATATCTGCTAAACAAACTACCAATGTGCATTGATTAGAGTTTAACTTCCCCCATTTTTGCTCCTTCTTCTTGAGGAGCTGATGTGAAAAATTATTCATTAGTAGAGAGAGAGCTTTCTTCTCTCATTCTCACTTGTATTATTGAAAAGTATTTTTATTTTTACATTATTTTCTATGTTGTATTAATGAGCAGTTTGTAGAATAGAACAAATTAATATAGTTTTAAATAAAATCAATTACAGTCGCATGAAAGGAGGAGAGAGAGAGAGAGAAATAAAGGGTTAAGCTGTCGGCTGGTTAGAGGCTCGGGGTCGGGGAAAAAAAGATCTGCTTTACCCATCTTGTTGGTCTATTCCATTAAAGGCAAACGAGGTTTCACTACCTAAAATGGAAAATTAGCATGTTAACTTTCCCCATTACTAATTACCTATCTATCTTAATGCATCTCCTTCGGTCCTTCCAGCTTAATATGAGCACAGTGAAGAATGATAATTATTGGTAGTAGAACAAGTATCAAAATAGAGAGAAGGGTTGTATATTGAAGACGATGGGGGGCCCTGTTTCGAACTGAAGAAACAAAATCCAGCTACTACTGCTTATGTCTACTTCTCACATGACAAAAATTAGTAACAGTACCTCTGGCCTTACCAGATCCCCACCCCCGTCCCCCACCTTCAGCCTCCATTTCTTCCACAAACCTCAGATATAAATATAACCTTAAATAAATAATCTCACATATATATTATAATATAATATAATATATATAATATATTTATATATATATATATATATATATATATATATATATACACAAAACTATATCCTATGTAGTATGTACATATCATACACCACAGCATGAAAGAGGATGAAACATGGGATGACCCATTTCACTTGCTCTTTCTGAGTGGTACACGTAAGGCCTCAAAATCTATGTCACTTTTCAATTTTCTCATTCATTTTGTAAGAAAGTGCTTAAACCCACAGCCACCCCCTTTGATTTATCAATTTTCCTTATCTTCTTCTCTTTAGTTTATACAAAAAAAATATTCCATCTCCATCTAGCCTAACTCGCAATCCTAGTATAACTCCATAGCCATGTAATTGTGGTAAGGATCATCTACCTTTTTAACTTGTGGTTTAGCTACTTACCTAGCAATCCATGTTTACTCATTTTTTATTTTAATTTAAATTAAAAAAATCATTATATACCACTAATTAGGTCTTGAGCACGACCTCCAAACTCTTCTTTACTGCAACGCTGTGAACAACTGTTTATCTAATCTTATGTATTTTATAATAGTCTTACGTACTCACTCGCTGGCCTTATACAATTTTACTCTACGTGAATGTACGTATGAATCACTTTTAGTAATCACAACAACTTGTATGTATAGATGTATACAAACGCAATCTACTAAGAATTAGGACCACATATATCTTCCTTTTTTTTTTAAAAAAAAAAAAAAAAAAGATGAATCAAACCCTAGCTTCTTTTATAAAATCAAAACTTAAAACAGTATCGTCTTTGGCAAAGAAAGATGTTAACGATGGTGATTGATAAATAGGTAGCGTTGCTGCTTCCAGTTCCTTTGAATCATAAAAAAGTTAGAAGATGCTTTGCCAAGTTGATAAAATTAATTTTAAGTATACAGGGAGATGGATGTGGTACTGTAGATGGTCAGTGTTGGGGCAAATCGGATACTCATCCATTCCAACACAGACTGGATAATTACCCCCCATCTCTTCTCTTTTATATTTTACGTGACATTGACACATTTTGCGTACCAATAGGGATTATAAAACAATTAATGCGCTCAGTACCGTACTAAAAATGGAGAGGCATATATACGAGTTGACTGTGTACGCCCAAATTTGATAATCAACTTACATATATTAATTAACTGATTATTTTAATAAAAATAAATAAATTAACAAGTTGGATATCGTTAACAAAATTGGTAATTTGGTCTAATTAGTACGTTACAAATATATAAAGTTGGATTCTCATCAATGGATCAATTAATTAAAATTAAGATAAATTAAATAAATAAATATATTATTCTTTTTTTGGGTGAGGAATCTTGAGTTTAGAATGCCTCCCATTATGGATTTATCTATCAATCAAAACATCATTTTCCAGTACATCATTGTTAACTTTGAATCGAATAATTAAAAGCCACGTGTCTATGCATTATATATATTCGAAAAGTGGACATTCTGAAGCGACACGTGTCTCGCACAACAAAAGCCCACTTTCCCTTCCGTAGTCGGCCACCAATAGTATCGTTTCATGCGCCACATGAGAAACATTTTCGTAAAATTTACTAAAAAACAATACTGGAAAACGGTGACCGCCCCTAAGGCTAAATATAGTGGTAGGGTTACTCCCCAAACAGAAAAGAATTATTTAAATAAAGATTGATTAATTAAATATCAAAAAAGGTTTTGTCCAAATACAAACATAAAACTGGCAATAGGATCCGTGCTTTTTCCCTAAAAATGTCATATCAACAAACGCACAATCACCTTGCTTTTACTTTACATATAGAGACAAGAGACAGAGAGCAGTAAGTGAAAGTGGCATTCCTTATCTTCTTCCATAGTGATGAATGAAAGGACTTGAGAGAAGTCTGTGCCCGTGGCCACTACTTGTTGTTTTACCCTTAACAGGTGTTGAAGATTCAAGAAGAACATACTCCCCTCATCTTCTTGCCTCAAATCCCAATATTAATCCATTCATGGCCGAAAGTCATCACTTACATGCATTTTTAATAAAGACTAATGTTATATTCATGATCTCTTTTCATAAATTTTCTTTTACAATCTTGATTGTGAATTATTATATCAGAGTTATGAGAAGACATCATGAGCGTAATATTTTTCATTAATAAAATCTGAACATTTACATTACCAATTCAAATTCTTCTTCTTCTCTTCTTAACTTGTAAGTTAGACCCCACCCCGGTTGATTCCCTTATTATTATTATTTAAATTACAGCATTAAAATATATATTCCAAGTCATATGAATTGTCTTCCATTTCATGGTTTAATTAAAATAGACATTATTAATGAAAGTGGGCTGTGATTGTTGATGGTTGATTGTAGATATTTGAGAACAGAGATGGTCAATGGCGTTATCTGAGATTATCAGTGAATGAAAGGTAAAAACAAGTAGTTATAGTGACACTGTGTAGGTTTATATTGTATGTCTTCAAGTGAAATAGATAGTAGTTGAAGAAGAAGGAAGCACAAATTTGAGGAAATGGATGATGTTTTGTGTAGAATTCAAAGATGCCAATCGTGTGGCAAGAGAATAATCACACAAGGACGACAGTCAATGCCGTAATGCATGCCCTTTCAAGGAAGGGTCCCCATTCCGAAGATGCTGTGTTGCTGTTGCATGAAATGACCAAACGGCTATTTACACATTTTAGGGACTGAGTTTCACTGTATGGGTTAATGGGTACCACTTATTAGGGAACAAATATTGTCATTTGTTCCGTAGGAAAGGTGATGAGTTTTCAAACTATATTTTGTCTCTTTTACAAATCCCTTTTGTATTTGATATTTCCTCTCTAATGAATTTGAACCGACCTCCATTTTATATTATATACTCACTCACCCAATTCATATTTTTTTAATAGTTCCAGACAAAGTCAATTTTTATTTTTTTCTTTTTCTTTTGGGGTTAAAATAAAGTCAATTTATAAAGCTAGCTATGACAAGCACCCTCCATGATAGAAGATGAGCCACGCCTTTAGCCCACTACCATTATAAGGGTGAAAAGGTGATCCGAGATAAGCATGTTTTTGTTTATAGGGAAAGAAAGAGAAATTAATTAATAAAGACAATTGTTGGATTGAAAAACACGTGGATGATAATGCTCAAAAGGGTTAGCAGAAACTAAAATTAATTGTGTTCTTGATGGCAAGTACTCTGCTCTGAAGTGAAAGCGAAGCAACCAAAAGATGCCACTCCAAAACTTAGTGGTTTGACATTTTGTTTGTTTTTATATATTTAGTGTTTGACTCAGTCTCATTCCCATTGCCTTTCTGGATTTGACCATCTTATAATTCAGCTCATCTTCACATTCTTAATTTGATCAAGCAACTACTGAGATCGTCAAACAGAAGCAATGTGGAAAGAGAGTCCAATAAGCTTTGTTCTCTTCGTTGTTAGACTTCCATTGCCTCATAAATGATACATTCATTATATGGGAATAAACATGATAACGATGTTGAAACATTTGGGGTTATTATTTGAGTCAGTCAACAAGACCAGGCCACTCAGATGTTGTAAAAATGACAAAGATTTTTGGCTTAGCAGGCGTCTTTAATACGGAAGCATGCCCAGTTTGATTAACCCAATTCATAACTCCCAACTTAAATTTAATACACTACATTATCATCTATGAATACCCTTTTCTTTCTTTTAAGCAACACAATTAGTCTTAGGAATGAGAAATTAATACGGAAGTATTGGGATTAAGACCACTCATTGGTTTGTATCGTGGAAGTAAAGAAAATTCATCCCCAACCTTTTTAATTTGAACACTCTAATGAACCCACACATATTCATGTATATGACTATAGATTTCTTTTTCGTTTCTGGTAAGTTTTTATTACGAGGCTATAAGCAAACAAATGGTAATCAGTATCACCAATTGGTCATGGACGCTAACTGATAATAGCTAGCATACGTATGGATGAAATAACACCATACAACGTACGCAAAGCAAGACCCTTTTCTCTCTGGAATTACCCAAAACCTTCAATGAGTGGAGTGGACCCTTCATTTCTAATCAGCAACTCAAATATGGGCTATCTCAACTTGCTTTATTAAACATACAAGTGACTGGGTTACAATTCATTTAAATCCAGCTAGTTTTTTTTCTTGTTATTCTCAATTTAATTTTTGTTTCTTTCTTCTTCTTTTAAGGCATGGCGCCGTATAAGTCTGCAATATGTCATATTTGACAATCTAAATTCAATTTGCCTTCTTTTTCCTGCCCTCAATGTGTGTGCTGTGCAATCAACATCCCTAAATCTTTTAATATCAATATTGAACTTCACATAATACTTAAAATTAATTAACCAAATATCATCCTCACATATAACATATTTAATTTGTTTCTGGTTAGTTATCTATCAATATGGCCATCTAAATACCAATATTGAACTCTAACCTTTTTACAATTTTGATTATTAAAGCCCATGATATGCCACCACACCAACTCACTCACAACATTCATCAACTATTCCTTCTGATATTAATATAATTATCAACTCTTAAAAAAAAACCACTGCGTGGGACGATATTATATGCATAAAACAATAAAAACAAAAAAACCAGTAGGATAATAAATTGTTCTTGCTGCCCCGCCCCATATACAAAGTAAAGCTGATAGCTGGGCCTCCTAATGGACATAGAAGTCAAGTATAGAGCCAATCAACAATGAAATAATGCATATCAAAATCAGAAATATAAGATCACCCACAAAAGTATAACTGCATATGAAAAAACAAAATCACCTCGCATCATGCATGCACCTAGTGAATACAAAATCTCCTTTGCAACATGCATGCACCTGATCTCTCTATTCAATATTCATACACCCTCAAATCATTCAATGCCTCTCCTAATGAAAGCAAGTATATAACATAGGGGTAGTAGACTGACCTAGCTTCAGGTCCTATAAATGGCAGTCTCAAAATTTGGCCTCGGGACCAGATATAAGATAAACAACATACCCATCCAAAAAGTTAAATGCATGATTGACATATTGAGCCGGCCAAGAAGTACAGACTCGGGCCCCCACGAAGCTTGACCTTCATCCTGCAGAGATGGCCTACACATGAGTATGACATGGTCCATCATCTACAATTTTGGGCACCGCCCCCCCTCTACAATGAGTGTTTCCATCCAGTAAATATGACGATTGAAGAATGCCTTTCACAAAAGACACGCTTAAGGTTCCTATTACATAGCTGATGGCCCAGTAATGACTTCGCTAGGTTGCAAATTCGGTCTGGTCGTCATTTATATGTCACAAATTTGTGGTAAAGGGAAATGCTCGAGTTTTGGAGAAAAAAATTGTTCCAGCAAAGTAGTGGTGCAAACCATAATAAACTATATCAACCTGATAGCACATTCAACTCTTTATCTCTTGTTAAAAGAATAGTTCCCTATGGCTTTGAAAGTCGAAAATGAAGGAATACCAGTCATCATCAAGAGTTAAAAGTTCACGTGCTGCCATTGACAAGCAAACATATAACATCATACATGGGGTGAAGTTATGGTAGGGGCAATTACAAATGAGCAAAAAGAGTGCAGCTCTGGTCGAACATGAACAGGGTGGGTCTCGCAATGAAGGATTCTGCAACCACCAACAAACATCTTATCCACAAAACAGACTTGAAACAAACCAAAATAATACAACTAAAGAAAGAAAACCAAGAACACTGCTTCACTAGACTGCCATGGACATAGACCCAAGAAAGGGAGAAGTTATTTTAATCAACAAAGCAAGACTGCAAGCTAGCTTTAATGATTCTCAAGAAGATGTCAGAAGCTTCAGGAGTGTACAATAATTTGAGAATTCAGGGATCCAGAATCAAGAAAAAAGGGACCAAGGGCAGTTGTCTCTCGTCTTATTGAGGTACCATGACAACATTAAAATATTTAATAGTATAAATGAGTTAGTAAATTAAAAACTTGCATGTTGCAAAGCAAAATCTTAAGATTTATCTAAATAAACATCACACAAGCAAGCCCACCCTCGATAATTTCGGCCATAAAATAACAGACAACAAAAAGTCAGCACCAATGTGCCATGAAGTCGAGATAGCTAGTAATTACTTGTTTACGTACACCTCAACTAAGTCCACCCTCAATAATTTCATCCAAATAAAATGTATCATCATCGCGGCTCACTAATGAGAAATACTGAAAACTCTCTTTTTCAGTGTGTTACTCATTGTTACACTCTCCCATTATACAAAAAACAGGACACTAATATATTACCAACTTGTTAATCCTTTTGTCTTTTCATATATACATGTCAACTGGAGAGTGAAAAAAAAGAATGTCCCTAGTACTCTTGTATCCTTTATACATATACATCAATTAGCTGTCTTAAATATCTATCACTTTCCACCAACTAGCCAAAAACACTGATTGAAGTATTGTCTTTTTGTTTTTGGCAGAGCAAACAAAAGTTATCAGGATTGGAATAACATTTACAGGTGCATCGGTAATTTCTCACTAGACCTCTGGTTTCATTAAATCATTAATGGAGATCGTGGGCAAATGGCACCCAAGTATTTCAGAATGTCAACTACATCAATATTATTAACAAAGCCCATTTGTCTTCCTTCTACCTTACGCTAATTATCTATATATCCTGAAACTGTTCATATCGTATCACACAGTAGAAACCACGACTCACAATTATCAACCGCAAAACTCTTATTGAATTGTCCAAAGCACCAGGATTTTGGAATAGAAAATAAATGGATGATATCAAAACTCAGACACACTCGTAGAATAATAGAATAACAGTCATTGAATTGAATTTGATTGTTAATAAATCCAAAACAAACAACCAAATACATGTGATATTTCATTTTTTAAATGAAGTAATTTTGTGGTTTAAAGTTCCACAGAGTTTTTACAGTGTTTGATTCTAATTCCTAGATGAATTCGTCAATCGGAAGGCATAGCTGAATTGCAGAAAACTCCTTCTTCTCCTTCAGGTTCATTTTTTATTTCGTGTCGAAAAGCTTATCATCTTTTTTATTAGAGTAATATTGCACCCAAATCTTTTTATACAAATTTATCCTTACAAACTTATATGATAAAAGATGATTGGATAATTTAAAATTTAAAATTTAAAATAAATTTTGACGCAATCATCTTTCACGGTTTAATCTGGCAAGAGAGTTAGAATAAAAATGATGTAGGTATAATATTATTGTTCTTATGGCGTTAAGTTTGATGGGCTTGGACATCAATGATGGACCAAGCCCGATTCCAAGTCAATGGCCGTTTATGATGTTGGGCTTTATTTATTTCTAACAATTTCGCAATGATTAGATTGTGTTACAATATGAGCCAAAAATGTAACAAAACACAATATTCAACTTATTATTTTATAATTTTCATTAAAATGAAAGTAGATACCGATGACCATGAGGTAAGAGATATTTAAAATATTAATACTTAACTCTATATTTTTATATATGGTAGTTACCATATTACCTAATCCTTCGTTCATAATAACGTTATTAATTTAGTAGCAGCGCATTCATAAAGTATTTCATATATTACCTAATCCTTCGTTCATAATAACGTTATTAATTTAGTAGCAGAGCATTCATAAAGTATTTCATATATGCAGTAGTGGTAACTAAAATTTCTCATACTCAATCATTGGTTGAACCAATTACGAAGTCTCACAAGGATGACCACAAAGAAAACCAAGACACCCTACACTTTCCTCCACAATTAGCCACGTACATTTCACCTAACGCGTAACTTAGAATAAACAAATGGTGTGTCCAGCTGGCGCGTAATGTGCACCCACCCAACTCATCACTCCTCCTCGGCGGCCCAAAGGCCCCAAACTCAGACTCCCTAAAACTGCTCTAGATCTTAGACGCCTTTCTTTCTGTCTTAATCTAACAATTTCATCATCTACAAATTCAATGATAGACCTAACGATGGAAAATAAATCTTCTCTCCAGTTTTTTCATTAATCACAATCCAGACTCACTATACTCGCTTCCATACTTTGACTTCCTAATTCCATTCTCTCTACTCATCGTTTTGCTTTCTCTAGGGTTTTAATGTCCGGCCACGTGATTTAGCAGCCGCCAAATCTGATGGCCTCGATCCGCCGAACTCTTTCTCCAGCCTATCATGACCGTTCGTACCAAAACGGTTCCAGCACTACATTTCCAGCCGCCAATTCACCTTCTCACAGGCTCTTACATAACGGTAAATATTCGTCATCACCCTTACCTTCAATTAACTCAGTCACAGTCAATCTCCGTCGATTCCTTTCATCCCGTAAATCATGGCGAAAATCTCTCTACCGGTGTCTTCTATTCTTCCTGGTGGGTATTGTGTTAGGCATGAGTCGTTTGACGCCGTTTGGTCACGTGACGGAGATCGAAAACCACGACGTGTTTTTTGAGATCAAGCCGCCACATGTGAACGTGCAATTTGATAGTGACAACATGGAGCTTATTAGCAGGCGTGACACGGAGCTTATTAACAGGCGTGACACGGAGCTTATTAACAGGCGTGACACGGAGCTTATTAACAGGGGCGACGAAGTGGTGTTGAATACAGTGAGTTTCGGAGTAGAGAAGAAAAATGAATCCGAAACGATTGACAATTACAGATACAGATACGATTTCGTGCCAAGAAAGCAATTAATTGTGATCACGCCAACGTACAATCGCGCAATGCAAGCTTATTATTTAAACAGATTGGCGCAAGTTTTGAGGCTTGTACAGCCACCGGTTCTGTGGATAGTGGTCGAGGAAAATGCGGCGTCGTTTGAGACAGCGGAAATGCTGAGAAAAACTGGGGTTATGTATAGACACTTGGTGTGTCAAAAGAATTTGAGCAATGTGAAAGATAGAGGAGTTCACCAGAGAAATGTGGGTTTAGAGCATATCGAAAGGCATAGACTTGATGGGATTGTGTATTTTGCAGATGATGATAATGTCTACACCATTGACTTGTTTGAGAGCCTGAGAGAAATCAGGTATCTTTTGATTCTCTAAACTGAGTTTCTTTCATGTTATAATCAGAAACTTTTATTTATTGTAACTTAAACTTATTAAAGATATAGATATATCAACAAACTGTAATTGTTAAGTTTATTTTGCTAAAAAGGTAATTGTCTACATAAAATGTGTGGTTTGCTGCTAGTAGTACATGTTAGCCGCTTGTAACATTTTAACTATTATAGCATTGAGTTTTTGTACTGCGTAATTTGATGGGTGGATGTAAATGATATACGTGCCTATGGACATGAGAAATACATCTAGTTTGGCAAAGTAAACAATTTCTTGAATTGTTGAGTGCTTTAACTTAAATGTTTATGAAATTATATGTCATTGGATATGGACATTGGATATTTGAAACTGCCTCAACAATTAACTACCTCTGCTTCGTATCTTTTGTTTGTGGATTGATTTTGCATATCTTCTTTGGTGACAGCCATTCCATTTGTTTGTTAATATGTTTATTATCAATTACAGTTTATTCATGATTCTTTTTCAATAATTTATAAATTGTGATTATCTGAGTTTCATGTTGCTCACAAGGCTAACACTAGTGTAAAGTAAACCTTCTCTGTCTAAGTCTCTTACTATTGTTAATGAAATGATATAGTGTGTCATTTTGGTGTTGCTTTTCGATCTTGCTATTACCAAAATACTGGCCTCACCTTTGGGTTTTCTTTTTCTATTAATTTCACTCTTTACTGATCTGCATGTAGTCATGTGAACTTTAAATGTTCATATGGCTTGTAACACGATTTGCTTGATTTGGGGTTTTCAAACAATGAACTATGGCGTCTGTTATTCATTATAAACTAGTGAGTAGAGTATTTTGGGCACTAGCAAGTCTTCTGATAGGGCATTTGCATGTTTAGTATTATTTGAACTTTGTATACCTGCAGTCCTCCTTTTCTTTTTTGAATAAAACCCCTTGAGGCTTGAATGGATTTGTTACCTGGTTTCTACCAATTAGATTTTTATATATCTTAGGTCACCCATTATGACCAGAAAATCTGTAAATGCTGCAAATTACTTCGTATTTCTGCAAATTCCTTCGTATTTCTGCAAATTCCTTATGATGTTTGCCTTTTGGTGCAGCCGATTTGGCACTTGGCCTGTTGCCATGCTTGCACAAAGCAAAAACAAGGCAATTTTAGAAGGTCCTGTATGCAATGGAAGCCAAATTATCGGGTGGCACACAAATGAGAAGAGCAAAAGACTTCGTAGGTTTCATGTTGATATGTCAGGATTTGCTTTTAACAGCACTATCTTGTGGGATCCTAAGAGATGGAAGCACCCCTTTCGGAATCCAATTCGGCAGTTAGACACAGTGAAGGAGGGTTTCCAAGTATAAATCTTTTCATTCTAATTTATGGATATCTTTTTAATACTATAAATTCTAAGTGTGCTTAAATTATTAGAAGCAACAATTGAAATCTGTGCACCAATATTGTGTTTTCTACAGGAGACCACATTTATAGAACAAGTGGTGGAAGATGAACGCCAAATGGAAGGTACACCACCTGGTTGTTCAAAAATACTGAACTGGCACCTTCATTTGGACACTCACAATCTTGCTTATCCTAGAGGTTGGCTGCTCCAGAAAAACCTTGATATTATTCTCCCCATTAAGTGACGTGATTGCAACCCTGCAAATTCCATGCAGCCTCAAATGGGTATGATTTTCTGAGTTGTCTCATTGCAGCATTTAGAATTTTAACGTTTGCAAGTTTCAACATTGTCAGTCGGAAAATTAGCTTCCGAAAAAGTGTTTCCAAAAGGATAATTTTTTTTGCCTTTGCACCTCTTCATTCTCTTAATAGGGGGAGACAAGGGAGACAAAAGAACTGGGTTGAAAAAAGAAAATTATAAAGGTTATTTTATGATGAGCAAGGGAAGGTTCATATATCATATGGGCAAAGAAGACTTTTCTGAAGGATTCTGTAGTCAATTGTTTCTAACCCATGCTTTTTTGAAGTTTTTCTGTGGCAGTCACTATTTTGTTTATGTGGCCAGTCTCCCTGAGCAATTGTTGCTTCGTGTGCTACCAACGGGACACAGCGACTCAGCTAGCTAGCAATGACAAAGAAACAGAAATTTATGGTTTTACATGTACAATTTTCCTAGCGTGATATCCTTTCACAAGTGAGATTTTGTATTTGTTGTAGAGTACGGGTGTTTGGTATTGGGGGCGTTTTAATTGCTCTATCTCATAACACCCTTCTCTCGAAAAAGGAAGTTGTTCTCTCTGGGCCATGTTGTGATCCAACCTGTATGCCACCTTGTATCAAAATCAGGAAATACCAACATGTCCTGGAATTGAAATTTTAAGATAGTCCAGCATTCTTTTATGCATTTGATATTCTTCCCGGTCCTTCTTGTACTGTATATGATTTGGGATGCTTTAGCAGCTTGTTTGTTATAAATATAATGCCATTAATCATAGAGGTTGTATCAGGAAATAACAACATGACATGGGATGCTTTAGCCACCTTGTATCAAAAGCAGGAAATACCAACATGGCCACCGCTTATCAACCACCAGCCCAAAATCAGGATCCATTTTTCATTATTGTTATTTCAACTGGATTTGACCTGGTCGTAGCTCCTGTCACATACTAACGACCTCCAACATGACAAATTGAAACGTGGATGTCAAAGGTGCAGGTGGAAAATGATGTTAAAACTTAAAACCACTCTGAAATGCACTAATTTGACTTGCAGATGTACGAGTTAAAGATGCAAACGTAACAGATTGGTTCTAATACGCCATCGAACTCTCTTTTATATATTATTCGATCACTGTTATAAAAAATAAATACTTGTAGAGAGCGTTTGGATCATATAATATTTTTTTTATCTTAATAATAAGATTATCAAAAAGAAAGATTACCTTGTAGATTATCGGGATTAAATTATTATTATGTTTGTTTCAATTGGGATGTATTAATAATTAATGTGTTTGGTTGATAGTAATAACAAATGTCCTGGAATATCTTTTACTAAAATACCCTTTAGATGATTATTAGATATAAATAATTAAGAGCTTGTTTGTTTTATTATTTGAAACCTTATTCTTTATCCTATTTTCAGAATACTTATTTGTTTAATTATTACTTTTTTGTTTAATTATTTTGGGAAATACTATTCTATTTTTTTTAATTACTTTTAGACCCCTTAAGTTTATTAACTTAATTTAACACCCCTAAAAAAGAAAAGTTTAAAAATTAACAAAAATAACCCCACCCATCCATAGTTGCCAGATTCCAGCAACCACCGTCAGTGGTGGCCGGAATCTGTCACAATGGCCTAAAAATGACCAAAAATGGTAGTTTACTCACCGATTTGGCCTTCGTTGATGGTTAACGACGGCCAACTCGTGGCCATTATTGATGGTCAACGACAGCCAACTCTTTGGTCGTATCTAACGGCCAGATCTGGCCTTAGATCTGATCGAAAAAGGCCAGATCAGTGAATAAACTGCCAGATTTGACCACTCTGAGTCGTAACGGCAGATTCCGACAATGGTGATCGAAATCTAGATTCTAGCACTGTGGTGATGGGGGTGTTTTTGTCATTTTACAAATTGAGTGTTTAGTAATTATTAACCAAGCCAAGGATATTTTCGTCTGCATAATATACTATTTAGGGGCAAAATTGGATATAAATTATGATTACCCGATAACGTTTTAATAACAACCCCCCATGAGGTACAAATATTCTTGACAATTTACCCCCCTTTAACCACTGGTTGTCATCTTTTTTTCCCGTAAAATTTTTTTACAAAAATGTCATAACACGGTAATCTGTTAAATTAAACAAATATTACCCTTATTAAAAAATTTAAACCCGATCCAAACGGGCCCGTAGAGACATATATTATTACACGTTATGCTCCATTTCGTTTTTGGGATTTCAATTCATTTCCAGGATTCTACATCCATTAGATGATTATTTCAGGCATACAAATCTATTGTGTTAGGCATGAGTCGTTTGACGCCGTTTGGTCACGTGACGGAGATCGAAAACCACGACGTGTTTTTTGAGATCAAGCCGCCACATGTGAACGTGCAATTTGATAGTGACAACATGGAGCTTATTAGCAGGCGTGACACGGAGCTTATTAACAGGCGTGACACGGAGCTTATTAACAGGCGTGACACGGAGCTTATTAACAGGGGCGACGAAGTGGTGTTGAATACAGTGAGTTTCGGAGTAGAGAAGAAAAATGAATCCGAAACGATTGACAATTACAGATACAGATACGATTTCGTGCCAAGAAAGCAATTAATTGTGATCACGCCAACGTACAATCGCGCAATGCAAGCTTATTATTTAAACAGATTGGCGCAAGTTTTGAGGCTTGTACAGCCACCGGTTCTGTGGATAGTGGTCGAGGAAAATGCGGCGTCGTTTGAGACAGCGGAAATGCTGAGAAAAACTGGGGTTATGTATAGACACTTGGTGTGTCAAAAGAATTTGAGCAATGTGAAAGATAGAGGAGTTCACCAGAGAAATGTGGGTTTAGAGCATATCGAAAGGCATAGACTTGATGGGATTGTGTATTTTGCAGATGATGATAATGTCTACACCATTGACTTGTTTGAGAGCCTGAGAGAAATCAGGTATCTTTTGATTCTCTAAACTGAGTTTCTTTCATGTTATAATCAGAAACTTTTATTTATTGTAACTTAAACTTATTAAAGATATAGATATATCAACAAACTGTAATTGTTAAGTTTATTTTGCTAAAAAGGTAATTGTCTACATAAAATGTGTGGTTTGCTGCTAGTAGTACATGTTAGCCGCTTGTAACATTTTAACTATTATAGCATTGAGTTTTTGTACTGCGTAATTTGATGGGTGGATGTAAATGATATACGTGCCTATGGACATGAGAAATACATCTAGTTTGGCAAAGTAAACAATTTCTTGAATTGTTGAGTGCTTTAACTTAAATGTTTATGAAATTATATGTCATTGGATATGGACATTGGATATTTGAAACTGCCTCAACAATTAACTACCTCTGCTTCGTATCTTTTGTTTGTGGATTGATTTTGCATATCTTCTTTGGTGACAGCCATTCCATTTGTTTGTTAATATGTTTATTATCAATTACAGTTTATTCATGATTCTTTTTCAATAATTTATAAATTGTGATTATCTGAGTTTCATGTTGCTCACAAGGCTAACACTAGTGTAAAGTAAACCTTCTCTGTCTAAGTCTCTTACTATTGTTAATGAAATGATATAGTGTGTCATTTTGGTGTTGCTTTTCGATCTTGCTATTACCAAAATACTGGCCTCACCTTTGGGTTTTCTTTTTCTATTAATTTCACTCTTTACTGATCTGCATGTAGTCATGTGAACTTTAAATGTTCATATGGCTTGTAACACGATTTGCTTGATTTGGGGTTTTCAAACAATGAACTATGGCGTCTGTTATTCATTATAAACTAGTGAGTAGAGTATTTTGGGCACTAGCAAGTCTTCTGATAGGGCATTTGCATGTTTAGTATTATTTGAACTTTGTATACCTGCAGTCCTCCTTTTCTTTTTTGAATAAAACCCCTTGAGGCTTGAATGGATTTGTTACCTGGTTTCTACCAATTAGATTTTTATATATCTTAGGTCACCCATTATGACCAGAAAATCTGTAAATGCTGCAAATTACTTCGTATTTCTGCAAATTCCTTCGTATTTCTGCAAATTCCTTATGATGTTTGCCTTTTGGTGCAGCCGATTTGGCACTTGGCCTGTTGCCATGCTTGCACAAAGCAAAAACAAGGCAATTTTAGAAGGTCCTGTATGCAATGGAAGCCAAATTATCGGGTGGCACACAAATGAGAAGAGCAAAAGACTTCGTAGGTTTCATGTTGATATGTCAGGATTTGCTTTTAACAGCACTATCTTGTGGGATCCTAAGAGATGGAAGCACCCCTTTCGGAATCCAATTCGGCAGTTAGACACAGTGAAGGAGGGTTTCCAAGTATAAATCTTTTCATTCTAATTTATGGATATCTTTTTAATACTATAAATTCTAAGTGTGCTTAAATTATTAGAAGCAACAATTGAAATCTGTGCACCAATATTGTGTTTTCTACAGGAGACCACATTTATAGAACAAGTGGTGGAAGATGAACGCCAAATGGAAGGTACACCACCTGGTTGTTCAAAAATACTGAACTGGCACCTTCATTTGGACACTCACAATCTTGCTTATCCTAGAGGTTGGCTGCTACAGAAAAACCTTGATATTATTCTCCCCATTAAGTGACGTGATTGCAACCCTGCAAATTCCATGCAGCCTCAAATGGGTATGATTTTCTGAGTTGTCCCTTTGCAGCATTTAGAATTTTAACGTTTGCAAGTTTCAACATTGTCAGTTGGAAAATTAGCTTCCGAAAAAGTGTGTCCAAAAGGATAATTCTTTTTGCTTTTGCACCTCTTCATTCTCTTAATAGGGGGAGACAAGGGAGACAAAAGAACTGGGTTAAAAAAAGAAAATTATAATGTTTATTTTATGATGAGCAAGGGAAGGTTCATATATCATATGGGCAAAGAAGACTTTTCTAAAGGATTCTCTAGTCAATTGTTTCTAACCCATGCTTTTTTGAAGTTTTTCTGTGGCAGTCACTATTTTGTTTCTGTGGCCAGTCTCCCTGAGCAATTGTTGCTTCGTGTGCTACCAAAGGGACACAGCGACTCAGCTAGCTAGCAATGACAAAGAAACAGAAATTTATGGTTTTACATGTACAATTTTCCTAGCGTGATATCCTTTCACAAGTGAGATTTTGTATTTGTTGTAGAGTACGGGTGTTTGGTATTGGGGGCGTTTTAATTGCTCTATCTCACAACACCCTTCTCTCGAAAAAGGAAATTGTTCTCTCTGGGCCATGTTGTGATCCAACCTGTATGCCACCTTGTATCAAAATCAGGAAATACCAACATGTCCTGGAATTGAAATTTTTAGATAGTCCGGCATTCTTTTATGCATTTGATATTCTTCACGGTCCTTCTTGTACTGTATATGATTTGGGATGCTTTAGCAGCTTGTTGGTATGATGCTATTAATCATAGAGATTGTATCAGGATTCAGGAAATACCAACATGACATGAGATCCTTTAGCCACCTTGTATCAAAATCAGGAAATACCAACATGGCCACCGGTTATCAACCATCAGCCCAAAATCAGGATCCACTTTTCATTATTGTTAATTCAACTGGATTTGACCTGGTCGTAGCTCCTGTCACATCCTAACAACCTCCAACATGACAAATTGAAACTTGGACGTCAAAGGTGCAAGTGGAAAATGATGTTAACACCACTCTGAAATGCACTAATTTGACTTACAGATGTACGAGTCAAAGATGAAAACGTAACAGATTGGTTCCAACTTCTAATAAGCCATCGAACTCTCTTTAATATATTATTCGATCACTGTTATAAAAAATAAATACCTGTAGAGACATAAATTATTACACGTTATGCTCCATTTCTTTTTTGGGATTTCAATTCATTACCAGGAATCTACATCCATTAGATGATTATTTCAGGCATACAAATCAGATTAGAACATTACTGGTTGCAATAAATTTCATAAGACTTTACGTCTTTACCATCATTCCTGGGGGGGTTTGGGATGACACAGATAAATCACTTCAACTACGTTTACCTATTCCCAATTATTGGAATATAGCAGAAGCAATCATGGACATGCAATAACCCCATAATACACGAACGTGTTAACAAAGAGGCATGATTGTAAAACTCAAAACTCATACCAAGGAACTCTTTTCACGAGTACCTGAAAGATCATTCTTCCAACCATACTATCACCCCTGGAGGGGTCATTGCAAAATCATACTTCCTTTATCTCAACTCATTGAACCTAACCAACGACAACAAATCTATTCTCTCATGACCGCTAGGTCCCTCAACCAAAATATGGGGACCCGTTGGTTTCTTCTCCCATAAATTTCAAGCATGCCACCAACCCAACACATTTAATTGAATATGCCCCAGGATTGGCAGAAAGTAAATCTCAAAATTCAAAGAATAAAAATTTAACAAATAAAAACAAATAAATTTACAGCTATGTTACATTCCGAGGAGCTGGAGGGAGGAAACTATTTTCCTCAGAAGATGTCGTTCCAATTCCATATGCCACCGGACTGATTTTGAGTCACGTGGGTTTCACAGATGCAGTCAAACAAACATTGAAGTAATCAGCTTCAGTGGCTATATGAGCTCCTAACTTGCATCTCCATTTCTGACAACTGGAACCACCATCAGATGGAACGACATTGTGATTTGTCTGTAACTACCATGAGGTACAGAGGACACTTCAAGGACTCTTAAGGTTGAATTTGTTACGTTAGAGTTGCTCCATGTACAGAAGAACCTGTATCTGAGGGGTGCAAAGATGGAATATGTGCCTGCTGCAAATGTGATTCATTTACAAGACCAAGAACCCCAAGCGTTGATCTGCCACGTAAATGCAATAAGTTAACCAGAACATCAAATCAGTTGCAGCTCTGTGACTGAGAATATACAACACGCCAAAATGTTGGTACAGGTTGTTACAGATAAAGACAGTTGAAGTTATTCTTGTTACAACTATACAAAGAAAAAATCTTAACACCCTCTTCATCAGACAGGCATATCAAAAGAAACTCAATAGCAGAGCAATCAGTGAATCAACACATAATGCAACTTAAATAGAAGGAAGCTTTTTATCTCCACCATGTCTGGATATATTGATCAAAAAATATTCTGGAAAATATTAATAAGCAAAAAGCAGGGTTGGAAGACTTTTCAAATTTATCAAACCCAGAAAACCTGTACCTTGGTATTGACGTTTTCACACTTGGTTGGCCAGCATATGCGGCTAGGGGACCTCTGAGGTTAGCGTATTTATTCAGAGCACTCTCAAGTTGTGGAGGTGGTAACTACAATAAACAAAAAAAAGAGAAAGCTATAAACTCAACATATCAAGAAAATAATGGCAATTTTCCATACTTAAAGACAATATACTACCTGCAGCAATACAGGAAAAGAATGTGGTCGTGTTTGAGACACGCATTTCAAGAACCCAACCCACAACTTTGGCATTCTCCACACCTACATATAAAAAGGAAAACAAACTATCAGCTCCTAACCTAATAAGACCCAGCATGTTTCAGTAGAGTTCTCGTTTAAAATTACAGAAGAGTCAGACTTTCAATTGAGCCAGCATACCTGTTTACTCACAAGTTTGGACAGAATTTCCATAACAAAATCAACCTGAATACAGCAAGCATCAAAATAGATTTCTTTATCATCCTCCATATCATTTTATGATATAATTCATACTAACAACTAATACCACTTATAAAATACCATAAATTTGCATGGAAGATTCTAACTAGAAATGAACGATAAGCCCAATACAAAAATAACCCCTCATCATGGGCTAAGCTTTTTGGGCTAATGAATTATGTGAAGGCCCAAACAACACCCAGCAAAAACAAAAAGGAAAAAGAAGAATCAAATTAACCAGAATGTCCCTCTAAAGTAAAGATACAAATAACTCAATTTCTTTATTCTTTTAATAAGAAACAAAATACTTGAGTCAGACTTTAGGCGCCCTAAAGGGTATTCTGTCAACTGATAGGTAGGGTGTATTGTCTCATGAAACAAGAATAAACATATAAACTGATATTTGATTTTTAATGCCCGTCTATTATATTTTTAAGAGGCCCATAATGACTGCAGAAGCTACTTCACAAATTGAAAATTCCACATTGAAGTTTAGTTGGGATATAACTTTTGTAGTGTATTTTATTTTATGCATAATTCCGTCACCATCTGGTAATACTATAATAACAAGATAATTCTTTCACTGGACAAGTTATCAAGGTATTGATTATCTTTTTCTGGCATTTTACACAGAAAAAATTACCATTACCACGTGGCAGATCAGAAAAGAGTAATGTAAACAGTCGATAATATGTTGAGCTGGCAATATATAAGGTCCCAACATCCTTATACAACAATCCATATTAAATCCATAATTTTTAAAAAGATACAAGAAGCAGCAGAAGGAAAAAAATAGAGTTTACCAGAGTGGGAAAAGCATCAATTGCCTGAATTACTGTTCTCATGAAGAGTAGTGGCAGAGGAGTTTGATCAACCTGAAATGGGGAAAAAAAATCACTACATACATAAAGTTATATGCAAGTGTTCACAGATTATAGATGATAATTCTCACCATTTGGTTCAAGGCCTTTGCCAAAACCTGCTGTGTGAAAACTGTGCGTTGCTCAAAACAGGCTGAGCAAGCATCTGTTATCTGAAAACATAAAATGGAGTCTTAGTAAGAATCAAATCCACAATGGGCGCATAAAAATTATGAGTACAACTAAGAAATCCAAACTATCATCTAGGCACGGCATGGCCACCATCTAATGTGAAAAAAACTTGCGTCGTGCAACTCAATATCCAATGTATCATCAACAATTTTGAAGGCTTATTAAATTCCAGAGTCCAAAGAACTTATAGCTAGGCTCAAGTAATAATAAAATTCCAGTCCAAAGTCCTGGAGATCAACAGCAGAACAATAGAACATCATTGCAAATTTGGAAGGCTCAAATAGGTTATACCCAAACCCAGTCAACTAAAGAATTTATAGCTAGTATGCTAGAATAAATTTGATGCTTAGACAAGCAGGCCCCTTCTGATCATTTGGGTCTTGTAAAGATAAATAAGGTAGAAGATATATCTCTAGACACAAATGAATGACAAAGTAATCATGTATCAAATCCAAATAACTAAAGAAAGTAAATTATTACGTGTACCATTGCAAGATCCAAAAGCACACACTTCAGTGTTTCACTTAAACATAGCAAACATAATGACATTATTATTTGATCAAACTTAATCAATCTAAAGTAACACCAATCCAGCCTTAGCTTGGACTGAGCAACCATAGCTGAAACAGGTTGGTTTCAAATCGGGCAACCCCAGAATTCTACAAATTACTCTACCAAGCCCAACCTAGGGAACTGCATTCCAGTTTGAATATTTTCTTTATGTACAAATTTGGACAAGCTTTCTCAGGCCATAACACATCATATTACAAAAATCAATCCATTAGGTGAAAAGGGATAAAACAGTTACAGACCAAGAGGGTGATGGAAAGAATAAGAATGATCTGAATGTGCAGTTTATAGATCACCATCACAGTCAACCAACGTGTAAAATTCCAAGACTATTAAGCTCAGAATGACAAAAGACATGCCTTTTTCAGTGCAAGGCCATCTCTCTCAGGAACAATTTCATGTATTGCAACCAACACTTCTACCGGAGTTAAAGCTGGACCAGTATGAGCTGAACCCTGTCATAAACAATTATGAAGTCTTTGCAATTGTCGATTTCCAAGACAATAGAAAAGGTGAAACAGCATGTCATAATATATAGCAATTTAAAATCCGCCATTAAAAATTATGACCTCTTAGCAATTTTCATGATTCCAAGTTAAAGGGGAAGGCAAAATGACATGTCAAAACATTATAGCATTTAATTATTCTGCACAAAGAAAAAACTACAACATCACCAAAAATGAACTAAAGCAAGTTCACTGTTGGAATTTAGAAAGCAAGAAAAGAGAAATAGAGAGAAATGCAAAGTGCATAAAATTGGCTTGGAACTCTAGCTTTAGCGATAAAGCTACTAAACTCTCACTGCGACTATCACATGACAGATCAGAACAAGCAATTTGTTCACAATGTCTAAACATAAGTAAATCAAGCATCCATGCTTCTGATGGAAGTCAAGACACTCCTTGCATATTATCTAAAACTTTAAGCTGAATTTGAATCTGTGACTTAAATAAATCAAAATTTACCTCCTATCAGAAAATCAACCAGAGTGGCTTTATTTTTTCTTTGAGAAGGATTACATAACAAAGCAATGTGACAACACTTATAATAAGTAGGCAAAAACAAGTGGGTCCCTGAATGTCTTAACAATTCCAATAGAACCCGAACAGCAAATTATGAAGTCACATCACAAGAATTCATGCACACCTGTAGTATGTGAGCAAGTGCCATCTGGAACTTTTCTAATGGAAGGTCAACAAGGCGAGGGAAAATAGGTAGCACCTGTGATCATAAAATTATTAGATCTGTGATAGTACTATTGAATTTGACACCCATTAGTTAGAAACAAAACAATATTCAGTAATGCTACTTTATGCAATTAACAGGAAAATTATGAGTTTAAGGGGTCCTTTTCACAGAAGATAACTGAACACTTTGACAAACATGCCATCTTGTCATGTATCAATATATCAACCTCTGTTTTTCAAATGCCAGGCCTGAGATTGAAATCATTAAATAAACAGTGGAACTTTTGATTACAAATAAACAGTGGAACTTTTGAAATCATCAACTTTTGTTAGTTGATGAGGCTTGAGTTCTCCAAATGCAATTTCATTTTCTTGGTTTTTCATCAGCTCAATTATTCTCAAATAAAAGTCTATTTGGACAATATATATCAGATAAACAGAATTATATAAAGGAAGGGAAGACCTTTTCATTTTTTTTTTTTTTTTTTTTTTTTATGCTTTTAGTAACATTACTACATAAACTCGTCAAGATCTTGGTTTCTAAGGTCAAGATCAAGAATTCTAGATTCCATAATCTCTTCAGAAACCTTTATTACTCTTGATCCTTCTTGGTCTGAGTATCTCCAATCATTTTACATATTTCACAAAATTTACATCTGCTTTCACCTATCAGAATTTTCAAATGACTAAGTTAAATAAGGTACTTCATTCCGCTATCTTGCTAATCCAGGACCTTGACCGTAAAACGTTCAATTTATGGTTTAGGTTACTTGGTAGCCCATGCAGACCAATCTATACACTTTGTTATCATTTACGTCTTTAAATTTATTGTATCAGTTAGCAGAATACTTGGTAGCCATGAAAATTGTATCAGCCAGTATATAATATCACAACTTGTGCCATAATTTGCATAGAAAAATTGGGCCCTTGATCTGAACCCATATGAGCAGAATTTTTTCATTGGGCATGAAAGACACATAGTATCATGCAAGTTGATAGAAAAAAGAAATTTTGGAAGCAAACCTCATTCTTGGAAAGTGAAGAAAGCATCGGAATAAGAATTGTGGCATCCTGCAAAAAGATAAGACCTATTATGACAAAAGTTCAATTATAGGTCAAAGGAAAGATACATTATGCTTCGGTTGTGTGAAAAACCTTTAGCTTAGTTTCATATAAATGTTTAACAGTGGCAATTAGACTGGAAGAAGGAGTAGTCTCTTGGGTCAATATTTGCAGCACCTTGCCAAATAGGAAAACAGCTATCAGCAACAAAACAAGAGTTTCAAGGATGAAAAAGAACCATCAGTAAAATAGGAATAAGTGACTAACCAGAGTCAAGAGATTTTCACTTCCTTGTGGTGGATCAGATATTATATGCAATAATTCTGAACAAGTTGAACCCAAGGCCCTTACAAGAATTGGGATATGGCGATGAAAAGCCTGCATAATCCCAAAGGTGTAAGAATTAACAAAGAGATATGTCAATCCAGTTAAAGCAGATATTATAAAATGGCAAAAGTGACATGTGGGTGGAAATCAGAATAGTTTGGCTGTCTTCTGTTAAAACAAACTCACGCGGAACTCCAATATAATATCACAAAAGCACTGTAAGGTTGCAGCATATTAAACAGCTTTCAATTAAAAAACATAGACCCTTCATTTCACTTAGGAAAATTCGTATTAGACACCATAATGTAAGTACTGTTATGGCTACAAGGCAATACAACTTGGGGAAAACTTTTCCCTTTCTGTGAGTACCCATATTGAAATCCATGTGATAACCAGACAGTGCATTAGTCCACCATCTGAGGTAACACTTAATGCATCTGTTGAAAATCTGGCACCTGATCTGTCAATAATTATAATGATTAAGATATACAAAACAAGAATAAAACATACCTGCTTTACTGCTTTTGGAGCTCGCACATAATTATTAAAAACAAGTTGAAGAAGACTAGGTTTCTGAAAGGAAAGGATATCTGCATCAGTTTTTCCAGAAACAAAACCATAAAGGAAATTTCAAAATCATTAGTTTTATTGGACTTGAGAAATCATAGACTAACCTTCGTACATAAAGAAAAAAATAAAGAAATGAGACGTTGAGCTTCAGGAACTGACACAGTTGAAACACTATGAGCAACAGATTGTGCACCCCTCACTGAGTCCATTTCAGAGGTTCTAGACTCTGGAACTTGAGAGTCACTAATGGATGTCTCCTGGCTTCCAACCTGAAATTATTATTCAGCAAGCAAAATGAAGAACAATAAAAAAAATTGAAACATTTCCTGAAAATGGGAGAAGATGCAAGATGGCAAAGTTGTTCTCTTCTTCCTCCTCATGCTCTTTCAATAGACCTCAAAGGTTTACTTTTTGCCAGAACTATTGGATAAACTGTATGTGCATTTGTATATCTTATGCTGGTGTAATAAAGGTGCTATTTGCGACATAACCACAAGTGTTTCTAATAGCATAAATGCCTCAAGTCTACAGGAGCAAAGTGCATACCTCGATAACAGGCACTATGGCTAATTAACATGTGGACTTAACTGCATAGCCCACACCTACAGTCTCAGCCAGATGCATATGAACTAAATGCCAAGGCAGACAAGGTTGTTGAAACAGACATGAACTTGGCCAACAAGAACTTGAATAGTTGGCATGCTATAAAGAACGACTTAGATTCTGGAAAGTATGAAATAGCACATGACAAAAATAGAAACATGTTGCATACCTCCCCCTCGGCTCTTTGATCACTGGACCCAGGTTTAAAACACTCTACATCAGAAGGATGCTGATCTAGAACAGACAGCATCATATCTGTTGCATATTGCTCAATATTTTGTGTTATGTAGCTTAGCTGAAAGAGTTTGTTGGACACCTGTCAACATGAACATTAGAAAATTAAAAGATCATTAGTATCCTTGCGGCCTGGAGAACTAATCTAAAGTCCATGGTGATTAGAATTATTTTTCATGTTCCATGATCTTAATGAGCAGCAAGTTTGCATACCAGCCGGATAGCTTTTGCTCGAATTTCGTCTTGTGAATGAACAGCACACTGTCATAAGTGAACAATTCATAAGCAAAGAGTACATCTATGCAATTAATGATCATATGTGTTAAGTAACCACTTAACCAAAAGTTTAAACGGATAAGTAAAGGCCAAACAATAGTATTTAAGCTCTAAACAAATAAATGGTTCAATGCACACGCACACCTACTGCCTCATTAATATCTGTGTGACATTATAGCCCTGCACAGCAGAGCATGACAACCACAAGCATTACAAATTCAGAAAGAAGCATACAAAAAATTCCGATCTATGAGATTCTCATGGCCAAATTACCTTCAAAGCTATATCTAAACAGACCAGCCGGTTAGTTGGGCGCCCCAAAATCAAACTCCAAACAGCCCCAAGGCCCTGAGTGACACGCTCACCATCACGGACCTCTTTTCCGTGAAGATCAAAAACATCGGAAGAACAGAGATTGTCCAAAAGTTCTAAGCCAGAGTCAGGTAAAAATGGAACTTCACCAAGAAGCCTACTAAAAGACTTGTCAGAAGCCGGAAAAGCGTCAAGCAAAGATTTGGCCTACATCAGTACATTGAAAGAGTTAATAATTATAATTCTCAAGCAAACAAAATAAGGTTGAGTTGGCTGAATCTGTGCCTACCACTGCCAGGAGGAATTTCTCATACACAACAGCAGCATATGAAGAGCTTTCATTTGAACCCAAGATCATAAGAGAATGCAGATGATAAAGAACATGCAGTACAAGCTCATGCCCCTGACACAGAATATAGGTAAAAAAAGAACCATTTAAGTACTAAAATATACAAATTTCATAAACAAGCCAATAAATAAAAAAATCAACAAAGTCCAGCCCAGTGTATATGTTCAGGATATCCACTCACACCTTAATCAACTCCATCAGCTCATATTAAATTTGAGAGATAGCCAGCAAACACTATATTCAAAATCAGAGAGATAGTAATAACAGAGAAAAATGAGTTTAGAAGAGATGTGGTCTACTTAATGACCGTGCAAGACAGCACCATGGAGTCAAATAAAGAGAAAGGAAAAAGCCATGAAATTTTGATAGTTTATTTGGAGCACCATCAGAGAATTGTAGCAGCTACTAAAAGGACTCAAATATAGGAAGCAAGGTAAACACTCTGCTGATTTTGAACAGAATTTAAGAATCTATTGGTTTTCAAACTTGTTGGATTTCAGAGAAGCAAGTTTAAACCATTAGATTGTATGCTGATTATATATAGGGTTAAAGATCGTCACAACTCAGAAAGAAATTACCTTTTGCTGTTGGTAATTAACAACTACATGTTTTTGCAGCATCACAATAATCTCATCATCTGCATCAATCTGAAAAAGAAAAAAATTATATTTAATATTATTTTGTAAATTGCTTATTTCATAGACAGTTACAGGAAGAAAGCAATGAATGATGGTATATGGAGCTCAAACATTATATAAATAATGTAACATGATGTTTATGACAAAGATAAAAGAATGGTTGTGATAAGAACAATCTCATGATCTAATTTTGTAAGCAACCAAGGAAAATACTTGTTAGCTCCAAGAAAATTATAACTCAACATCCACATAGAGGCGACCAATCATATATCTCACCTGAGTGATCAATCGAGCAAGCAACCCCATGCATGTCTCACTACACCCTGTCTCCAGAAGACATTTGGAAGATTCAATAATCTGTTCAATAGCCAATTTTCTTGCACTTCTTTGCTGTTCTTCAGTCAGCTCAAAATATAATGGTGGCGGAGGTAAATCTCGACAGGTCTCCTCAGATGCAGATGCAATAGAAACAGCTGGAGAATTCTGATCATATTCTAGCAAAGCTGATGTACCAGTGCCATGCATTTCAACATCAGACAACTCCACTGCAGTAGAATCTTCATCAACTGCGTGAAGAGGAGAAATGGTGTGATCTGATGAAGCGAAAGTCTCTGAACTGGGGACAATTTCTTCAGATCCAACAAATCCATCCTCCTTGGGATTAGGTTCATCAATTCTAGAAACTGATGGACTTTCTAGAGTCTTATCATCACTTTTGGAGCTAATCATTAGAGGTGCCAGTGAATTTTCGACAGTTGTCAAAATAGCTAGTGAAGGAGGCCTACTTACAGAAGTAGAACCATCAAATTCAGATTGCACAGGACCAGCATCATCCACAACAGGTATGGAAGGAACTCCAACAGATGTTGCGACACGCCGTGGATCCAAGCGCCGGGGATCCTAAATAAACCACCAGTAAATTATTTTAAATAAGGAAGTTAAACATCCTAAACATATAATAAAGTGTGGACTGTAAAAGTAACAATAAGTAATACAGAAAAGTAGTAACCCTTCTCGGATCGCGTTTAGAATCTGCAGCAGGAATATTGACAGTGGATGTATCCGACAAAGATGAACTGACTGCAGTAGCTGAAGAAAGAGGTACTTGTAACTGTGTACTGAGAACTGGAGACTGCATGGTACTTATGTGTGTGGAAAGTGCTGCAACCTGGGCAGAACTACATAAAGAGCTTATCTGTTGAGCTACTGGCGAGCTCCCAAGCCTTGTTAAAGGTGGCGGAGTCTTAGGCAGGTGCCTCATATTAGTTATAACAATATCAGCCAACAGATCAGGATGAACATTTGAAATAAGTATCTCAAGTGATTCAGCACCCCTTTCTCCTTCAGCAAGCAAAGCACCAATCATCGCAATCATTTGTTCCACAGGAGCCAAATCACTATCCAAAAGAGGAACAGAAGAAGACAATCCATTAACAGGAACCAAATCCTTTCCAGAATCATTTATTTGAACAGACAAAGCTGAATGGGTGTTAGGACCATAACGGCTACGCTTGGAAGCTGCCTCAGGACCATTATTAATCTCTTCACTATCTTGAAGCATAGACCTTTTTCTTGACAGATCCCCTAACACAGGCAGCTGGGTTGATGATTGATCATCCTGATAATCAAACAAATAAAAATGAGGGAATGAAAATTTGTTAAAAAATAGGTGACAAGATTCTAAAATTAAAGAAACTTATCATCGACATAGACATAAACATAACAAGTTAATTACCCTGCCCAACCAAGTTTCACGTGAAGCACGCTCAGAATTTTTAATCATTTTATCAACTTGTCGAACAGCTTGATCCGCAGCATCCCCAGCATTCATTGCTCGTAGAGCTCTAAGCAATCTGTCTCTGGACTGCAAACAAAAAATAAAAGGCTCTCAGGCACAAGACTGAGTGAACAGCCAAAGGGATTTTTAAGCTTGTGTTCAAATATTAATGGACTAATGGGTTGAGTTTCCTTTCTATGTCTGGTTAGTCAGAAATTCTCCATAAAGAGCCCTAGTCATATAACCTTTCATTACCATTTGGCCTTTGGGGGATTCTTTCAACCAAGACAAATTGCAAGCACAAAATCTAAAGCAGAGTACGGGTGAGATGCAACATTAGTTTGATGACATATTATCCTGTTAGCATGTGGACTGGAAATTCAGAATTTCAGCAAACTGATAATGGAAATCCACTGCCCGCAGAGAAAAACCCCAAACTTTTCGTTCAAAACCAATATAACCTAAGAGGTGAAAAATTCTACATCTCCTTGAACAGAACTGTAATTTTTTTCGTAATTATAGTCAAATTACAGCTAAAAGGAATCATAATTTCTCAGAAAAGTTTTTTGAGCAAATATAACTTCCAACGAGAAAAAGAATGGAGCATAAACAACAGAAACATGTGTTAAACAAAAGGTTTAAGAAAATAATAACACAATGTCAAACAACTTTACCTCCATGATGACTGGATGAGTACACCTAAGAAACCCCAAAAAGGCAGTCCTTAAGGAGTACTGAATACTGACACCATGACATCCCTTCAGCGTCTCAAGGTTTGGATTAAAATCAAACAGTGCAGAAAGAATAGTGTTATACTGGAGCGGCCTCTTCCTTGCTATAGCTGCAAGACTATCAAACAGATAAAAACATTGTTAGATGATATTAAAAAAAAAAAAAAAAAAAAAAATAGTAGTTATGATAGGAAGAACAAAGAAATTAAAACTTCACATAAAACAACCAAAGTCATGAGTAAAATGAAGCAAGAGGTTAAGACATAAAAAGGGGAGAAAACATTGACTTGATATTCAAGCTTGAAATTTAAGCTCTAGAGTTTAAGTAAGTCCACATGTATGCACCAAATATTAAGTCAGCAAGCATCTTGCAAATGATGGAATTTTATGAGGTAAGAACTAAAAGTTTCAGAATTACATATGTTAAAGCAACCACTTAACATAAAAGTTTAAACTAATAGGTAAGGGCCCCAACCATAGTATTTCTCACATGCACCTGCACTTGCACATGAACTAAACACAATCACCCAACAATAGTATCTAAGTTATAGGCATCTAACACATCTTCTATTTCCAACCGGAAAAAAGAGCTGCGTTACCAGAACAGAAAACTATGTGGAAACCTTAATGAAATCTGTTTATGATTGTGCTCAAAAGCAAGGACAGGAAAGGTACAAACTCTCACCGTCCCACACAAGGAAGAATAACAACTTCAACAAATATTATAAAAAAAGCACAATACAAGACATGGGAACAAACAACTTGGAGCTAATTACCCATTCTAGACAGAAGAAGTTTGCAATCAACATGAAAGCTGATGACAGAAATAAGAACACAGTTAAGACACCCAAGATGCCTCCCTAGTGAGCTACAACAATATAGAAAACTTTCAAAACCACACATATATCACAAAATACATAAAATACAACAGATTATAATGCAACACCAATTTCCAGCATGTTGCGACATTCAATAACTCCACACCCATTCATTACCACTACAAACACCTCATCCAACCAACTAGAATCTATTTGTCATCTTCATCATGGTTGTTTTACACCCCACCACCTCCAAGGTCAATCCCTTCAAACACCAACTTGTACAACTTATCATTATAATAAACGCATGCCAACCATGACTACATGATCATTTTTATTCATTCCACAACAATCTCAAAATTTCAAATTCCAATTTGAGTGACATTGTATGAGCTAGGCAGATATGCAAATTCCTTTTATATATATTTTCTGTTCTTCAACAAGCATAACCACATATAATTCAAATTCCAATGAGTCAAGAAACTGCTCAATACATAAGAGTTTTAAATGAACTTCTCAGATAAACAATTGAGACATAATACAGAGGTGCAGACAGAGAATAATTCATGCCACCATGTCTAACAGGTGCTTCTTCTTTACACCCACTACTCTGTCTATCAAGGAGAGGAATGAAGAAAAATCACCCATGAATCCTATAGGGAAATAAAATATCTTGAAATAATTCTCTGTATTTTATGAAAACACTAATCTAAGTAATGAGTAGACTAGCCACCTACAGCAAATGTTCACAACATTATAATCACTAAACTCTTTACCAGCACTAACCACCGGCATGTTTTATTTAACCTTAATCCTAACAAAATAAGTAATGAATTTCTAGAAACAATGCATCTAAATTTAAGTACCACAGTTTTCTTACAACTCTACACTTTCGTTAACGGTAAAGGGAAATACAAAAAAGACCAGTTTGACTATTATAAATGGCAACCTGGACATGACATTGCTTCTTGTACCTGACCCACATTTAAAACTTATCTACTCAGAAAATGTTTTCCTGACAACTTGACCCTACTCTTGATGATAGTTTCTTACAAACATTATTAAAAACTAAAGCATGGATTTCACAAATCATAGTCAATCTACATTAAAATAAAGTTAACTCTTTAGAAAGTTACAATTAAATTTATTCTTCCTCTCCTCAACCATTTCTAGCAACATTTCTACATGGCATCAACATTCCCAACCATATATGTAATCTCCTCAAGCTGATTCATAAGCACAACAGAAACAACGTAGAATCTAGATTATCACAACAACAAGGTAATTTGGTAAAATAAACGCAGACACATTCCATTATTTTTCATCAGCATATGCTAACCGCCTTAATATGCACAAAAAATAATCTGAAAAAGAAGATGCTAAAAAACTACTGCAACAACAAGAATATTTACGTCGCCATCTGTAGAAACAATAGGTCGACAGCTTCAAATCAAATAAGATAATAACACATGCATCTGAACAAAAACTTTTGGTACATAAGTCAATTTTAAATGTTATTCAAATGCAAATTTTGTGCATCAGACTTTTTGCAGCATTTTAAGTTCCCAAATCTCTTGGTGATTAAATATATGATACAAAACATGCATCAGTAGCTTCAGCTACATTACAACAGAACAACCCACAGCTTTCACCTGAAAGAAACTTGTCTTAGCTGCACATTGCTAGAAAAGAGAATGACTGAAACAGGTTCTGAGTAAATGACTAAAGAAAATAATAACAATAATAATAATATTGCTAGACCAAGGATTGGATAAAGTTAGTTAAGTTTGATGCAAAGTTAGCCATAGTGAAATATATATAATAAAACTTCACAGAAAAACTAATTCGTTCAGTGTAACTTAACAAGTGACTATACTCTTAGTGCACAGGGAGTAAATGGACTGTTACAACTCAAGACTGATAAAGATATTGAACAACCGACAACTTCTACAATCCAGTTTAAATTACTGTTACCTGAAATGCCCGAAATGCAAATATACTCATTGTGACGACTTTCAATAGTAAGATTAGTAATTTCAAATGTTACTTTAATTCCTTACATTCTGCACATATCATGTGCCTGATTATACATGGCTAATAGCATCCTGGTCAACTTACTGCTGTCTCGAGATGGTGTTGAGTTTCTTATTCAAGGCTGAGTAGACACCTATGTTGTACAATATTATTTCATAAAGGTCCAACTGAGAAGTAACAGAACAAAAACATTCTCTATTATTTTCTAGCTAATACTCTAACAGGTTATAAGTTTCTTGATAATATAAGCTCATATTACTGTTTATTGTAAAGTCAAAGTACAAACAGATTAGAGTCTGATAAAAGAAATGCAGTGTCACAAAAACAAGTTATGGAAAATTGGGAACCACAATAAATGAAGAGCAAAAATATCAGGGACATCCCTAGTCAAAAAGAACTTTTAATTATTAAAGGTATTTAGCGTGCATCAACTGTTATAAAATGATTAATACATTTTAAATAGTCACACATCATTAGCTGTACACACACAGCAGAAACTCAGACAAAAGTAAAGTAAATGGTCTAACAGTTTACAAAAAAATAAACTGTGTTGCTTGACCGCCAAGTTTCTCTCAGTAGATGAGTTGAGCAATTTATCCATCGCTTAACCATAACTACACTGGACAATGCCGCTCCTTAGTACCCAAAAAATGTGAACATTGTCTAGCCATGTAAGTCCCAAAATCTGAACCACCAATGCAGCAGTTTCCAATGCCATTAACTCCTCAAAGAGAGCTGATCAGCATGCTGCTATGATATCACAAAAAAAGCAGTTGAACTTGTACTACAACCTGTTTCCAAGCTTCAGTGTCCCTCCAAAATTTTCAAAGATATTAAAACTGAGAGGAAAATGCAGTTTACTCCCTTTATGTATAATAGGACTTCAAGTCCACCAGTGATTGGAATAAAATTATAGGATGATTAACGAGTAAAGGAAACACAACTGTATGACACTAACTTCAATCAAATATCCATGCTTGAATGTAGAACAACAGAATTGTTATTGATCAATTACCTTCATGCGAGGATGAATTTCAAATTCAACAAAGAATCATCCAATAAGACTCAAAAAATATACAAAAAATGAAAGAAAATCTGGCTGAAACTGCTGAAAGTGATATCTTAACCATAGTATTAGGAGGGTAAACTGACTATGTATACAATTGTCTCAGATGACTTCTTAAGATTTATGATCATGATTAGTGATATAGCAGACATGCTAATGCATATGGAGTATAGGTGCCATCTAGAGTGACCTCATTAAACCACTATATGCACTGGTCCATACAAATAACTAACTGAAATGACCCATAAAATAACAAGTCAATATTTTATACATGTGATAGACCCACATGTAGGCACACATATCTGGATACATCCACAACTATACATATAGGAGTCAATATACAGCTTTCAAGAAAGCAATTAATGCAATCAAAAATCTAAAAAAACTTTAAAAAAAAGGAAAAACACCGATTAGAGCAAATAAGATTTTACAACATTAAGGCATTCAACAAGAACGTTTGCAAAACAAAATGAATGCCTCCTGTAATACTAAAAAGGCATTATTCATTTTATAATATCATGCATATGCAAAGAGAACATCAACATTAATGGCAATGTCATCAAAAAGGAAAGAAATCAACAGTAAACTATTGAGGATGACTGTCGGTATCTTCCTGTATCAAGGGAAAGATATCAACTTCTTGCATCAAAAACAAACTCAAGGATAAAAAATCAGCACGTTAAACTATCACCAACTTCGTCAATGCCCTATTCAATATCAACTTGTTAAAAGAATTACTACTCAAACATCAAAAAAACATTCTACAAATAACTTTTCTTTTCTAGTAAAATTTATTAAATAAAGCAAAAACTGCCACAAACCTAGTGCACAAATGGTATTCAAGATATGCCCCTAGGATATCCCTACAACTGAGAAATTCATGAATGAAAAAGAAAACATAAGTAAGAACAAAAGATTACTGAGAAAGAATGACAGCAAAGTCAGAGTCAATTTATGAATTTCAGCCAAGTGAAAAGAAAGAAATNAAAGGAAAGAAATCAACAGTAAACTATTGAGGATGACTGGAGGTATCTTCCTGTATCAAGGGAAAGATATCAACTTCTTGCATCAAAAACAAACTCAAGGATAAAAAACCAGCACGTTAAACTCTCACCAACTTCGTCAATGCCCTATTCAATATCAACTTGTTAAAAGAATTACTACTCAAACATCAAAAAAAACATTCTACAAATAACTTTTCTTTTATAGTAAAATTTATTAAATAAAGCAAAAACTGCCACAAACCTAGTGCACAAATGGTATTCAAGATATGCCCCTAGGATATCCCTACAACTGAGAAATTCATGAATGAAAAAGAAAACATAAGTAAGAACAAAAGATTACTGAGAAAGAATGACAGCAAAGTCAGAATCAATTTATGAATTTCAGCCAAGTGAAAAGAAAGAAATAACCCCCCATACAAGGTCAGGAACCCTACTCATGCAGCCCTATTCTACCCTGCAAGAGCCATGGTTTCAGACTCAACCGATGGCATGATAAGTGCAGGAAGAAAAGTGGCTTCCAACCAAACAGAGGTCAAAACCTCACTAAGTTAATCCTATCATGCAGCAAAGTAGGAATTCGAACTACAAGTAGAACCTAAAAACAGGACAGAGCAAAACCAGAGAGAGAGAAAGAGCAGCTAAAGCAAAATATTTTTTCAACTAAAAAGTTTAGCCAGTTACAAGATAAATACTTTGCCACAGCACTCTGGGTAAAAGTGAAAGAGAAGAGGAAAAGCCCCAAGCTACAATTCATTTGTATTAATGACTAAGATAATTGACTAAAGTTTCAGTGCGGATTGTAATATAAAGAATTAGGGGAAGGAACAAATTGTAGTCGTAGGTGAGGATTTTTCCATGAGAATTAGGGGAAGGTACAAAAAAGCTACACATGCACAAGAAATAGATGAACATAATTTGGTGACTAGAAAGTGTGAACTCACCAATTGACAACAGTTATTGTCACTGGACCAGGGAGATTACTAGCTGATTGCAACAAATCCAATAGAGTGCCAAGCGTCCTATTTGCTTCTGACATAAGTGTAACAGGATCTAAAAACGGGTGTCCACCCACCAGCCACGATATATTGAAAGCCCTTCTACCACCTGTTGCAGCTAAAAGCGACAAATATATCCAGAGAATGAAGTTTCCAAGAGAAATTAGTTTAAGAAAATATCAAAAAAGGCCAAAGGAGTTGTCCAACATCTTAAGTAATATATAGAAATCTTTTAAGCCCTAAAAAGTCAGAAAGCAGTACCTTCAGTGGTAAACTTTTCAGAATCATTTGTATCAGAGGTAAAAAGTAAAACATATATTTCCAAAAATTTCAGTGCTAGCAACTTTGTCCCAACGAAACCAGGCTGAATTATATAGTTAAAAAGAAAATAAAGTCAGCCCAATGTGTAAAACGAACAGTAGGGAAGAAATATCAAACCACATCCATTATAAATATGGTTACATGTATATCAGAATTAACAAGCAGTAATTTAGAAAACAATTTCAAACAAAAAGCAACAAAAGCAATGGTAATGCAATTGAAAACTATAATCACAATTGAGCAGTGACTTCTACCAAACTAACACCTCAAACAGAGTCTTTGCTTGATAACAAACAGAAAAGATGAAATATATCTAGAAAACTTCCTAAAGACAATTACCTCAAATGGAAGCTAAAGCATATCTAGTAGGAAAAACATTGTTATTAAACAATGTGAATACTTTAAATTTGAACACAAAAAACTTGTACTGACTTGTGATCCAGAATTGGGTCAGCTAGCAAGATTATATAACCAAAATTAGATGATAGACAGACAATCAACAAGGTATTCCCCTCCCAAACAAACACAAGCATTTGATTACAAAACTTGAGAACAAAATCTACAATTAAGCATCAGTTTGAGAGCATGCATTGTCACAGTTTTAACAAGGGAATGAGTTGGTCTTTCACCGTAAACCAATAAAGAATGTTTGTACCTCTAATGCAATTGAAAAGACAGCATCCTTAAACCTAACCATCCACGTCCAAAGTTCTTCAAGCCACCGCTCTACTTTACGATTCCAATGAAACTATATTTCCAAAATAAGCATTAAAATTTTATGAGAACCAAGCAGTTTAAAAACTAAAACCACGGTAAAAGAGGGCTGAAAGATCAATTTAAAATATATGAAGCAAGTTTACTTGAAATAAAGCAATAACCAAACAAGACTTTGAGGTAGAGTTATCCCCATAATTTGAGAGAATTTTTCAAACAAAGCAACACATACTCGCAACCTCCATTACTAATCCTTTGTGTATTCTGCTTTCCGTTACTATCCACTGATACTTGATCAATCCTCCACTTAGTAACACAAATATTGTAATATATACAAAAAAGCAGTGGAAACTCCATAAGATTGTTCTTTTCCACACACACACATAGAGATTCATAGACAAAATGACCATATATGGGACCATGCACTTATTATTAAATAACATTTTATTCATCAAACTAGTGAACGAAACCAAAACTAGTCCATGAACATTAACTTCATACTTCCTAAACCAGCTTATCCGAGTAAAACCTCTACAAGTCGTTTGGAAATAAAAACCCAAATTCCACAAAATTCAACCATCACAAATCTAAAAGAATCAAAAACTTTAATAACTATAAAATGCATTATTCAAAAATATTATAAAATATTTTTTGTATAGCACGAAAGAAGTTGAAGATAATAAAGAGGGTTGAGACAGAGAGAGAAACCTGTAATGCTATATCCTCTAGAAAACGGCAAAAGAAATTCGTGCCAGTAACAATAGATTGCTTTGCAACAGTAGAGTCACTATCCCTCAAAAATGCCAATAAAACAGGCATAATAATATAAGAATGCTCCATTGCTTTCAACCCAACATCTTCAATTGTCCTGAAACCATAAATAAAGGAAAGCAAAGGACAATTGAGTTGTTAGACAAGGGCATAAACACCTGACACATATAAAAGGCAAATAAGACAGTGCCAAGAAGCCATAAATATTGCCATGTCAATGCTGGTACACATATCAATTACAGAGTATAATCAACCAAAATTCCATAACCAATTCCATTACATGGGTGAGAAGCAGTCTACACAACTGAAAGTAATGCAAAATTGCAAACAATGAAGTTTTGAATGTCATCAACAAATAACTCTCGTAAATTTTCCACCGAGTGGAAAACACGGCTGAAGAGACAAACCCCTTCTATGCTCTTTCTTAACCTTTGATTTCATGGGTAATCTAAAGATAATTATAATACAACTACATCAACAGCAAACGGAAGAACAAATCTCGCAAAGATATTCTCAAAAGCCTCTCTAAATAAATAATTACAACTTGGAAGGAACAATAACCGAACTTTCACACAAATATAAGGTCAGAAACGGTATAAGAATACAAAATAAGGTTTTGTGAACTCACTCGATAAGAGATTTTCGAACGAGAGTTTCAGGAGAAAATTGAAGCTCGACCAAGTAAGGGAAGAGCTCAGCCGCTAAAGACGGGTCAGCAGACGACAAAATACCCCTGACCTGCTTTAAAGAAGAGAGCTTCACGGCTAAATCGCCGTGGTTGTTGGCGGCGGCGAGGAGCGAGAGTGCTTGGTCTCTAGAAGGTACGGCCATGTTCAATTATGAGAGATAAAAGGCGATTTGGTGTGATTTAGGTGGTTAGGGTTTTGAGAAGGAATGTGAAGGTTTTATCGGATGAAGCATGGATTGGTAGGTTAAAGAAAAACCAGTGATGAAAGATTTTAAATATAATGGTTTGTTTTGTTTTTCTCGGAGCGGAGCGGAGCGTCCAGTTATTACTTAGACGAAATTTGGGTCGATGCGGTTCTGAGTTCGGAGTTGGACAAGGTGAAACTGAAAGGCGCTCACATTTCCGCCTTTTCTTTATTTATTATAAAAATTTTAATATAATAAATCATTCAAATAAATATATTTCTATACCATATCCATATGTATATGGATTCTTCTTATATTAGGATGCAGATTTTATTTGGAAAATAAACGTAGAAATTTTTTCTTATGTATAATTTAATTTTTATATTATAATTACTAGCCAAATTGTTATTTTAGTTTACTTATTGATTTGGAAAAATTTATACAAAATATGATTGCTTTTTTTTTTTTTATACAAACTTACCCAATCAATTTATCGATAAAGAAACAAATGAGCATGATGTGAGAAAACTTTGATTATTTTTCTTTCCTGTAGAGGTAGTCCTAATGTTAACTCGCTAAATCATATGGAAGACCAGCAAATATGGTAGGGTAATAATAATATAAATAAAGACTGGGCTGGGCATATACAATCTAGAACCCAACCCAGTAAACTTAAAAGCATTTACCAAGTAGATTTCAGTAAACTTCGAGCTAAGCCAGGAATAGGATCACTAAACACAAACTTTTTCCCGGTCAAGTAAGAAATTAGAAAAAGACCTCTCTGTACTAATTTATTATAATTCAGAAAGTGTTCATCTTCAATCAGTGGGGTTATAAAAGGTATCTTCGAGTTAGCAGTGAGCGAAAGCAGCAACACTTTTCTTTTTTTTTTTTTTTTTCCTTTTTTTTTTTTGAGAATACACAATACTGATCTCACTTTGGCATAATACAATTTCAATCATAAGCAGTTTTCTAGCTAAAGTTTGCTAAGCCCAGCAAAAACTACTCAGTTGCTCAATTTGAAATGCAAATGAATTCATGAAGTCAAAGCATGTCTTTCAAAATGCTTGACAACAATTATTGAAAGGGAACAGTATCAGATTCAAATTGTTACCATGCCAAGTTAAACTAAATGAAGCAATGAAACCAAACACAATTTGATTACCTCCAAACTATTGAGGAAATTTCAAGCTTCAGTGAGATGAGCTACTTGCAATGTCGGGTGATCCTATATACACATGTGAAATGCGATTTATTTTCAGCCAATCTTCACCTATGTCCTTCTTGCAGCGCTCCTCTAGATCAGGACATTCTCGGATAGATAGATGCTGAAGGGAACTTACACATTGCAGACCACCAGGCAGAGAAGTTAGATTATGACAATCTGTTAATGTTAATGATCTGAGAGAGTTAAGGTTTGCCACCCACTCTGGAAAAACTTTCAGACCTGAGCAGCCGCGGATTTCCAAATTTTGCAGTGTAGTGACATATTTTAACCCCTCTGGAAGAGATGCAACCTCTGGACAATTCAAAATGGATAATCTTTTTAGAGCGAACAGATGCTGCAAATCCTCTGGCAAAGAAGTCAATTTTGGACAATACATAATAGTTAAATGCTCAAGGGATGTGAGAAATTGCAAATTATGTGGCAGCGATGTAAGGCTATTGCAGTTCTCAATTGACAAATTTCGAAGAGAACTCAGACTCTGTATCTCCTCTGGCAATGAAGTAAGGCTGTCGCATTCAATTATTTCCAAAGACTCCAGAGAGGTGAGGTTTTGCAATTTGTCAGGCAATGAAGTTAGTTCCTTACTCCAGCGAATTGTCAAGGATTTTAGGTTGATGAGCTTTCCCAAACTGGAAGGTATAGAATGAAGCTTTGGGCAAGAGCTAATTGTTATAGACATGAGAAGAGCATTATTTTGAAGCATGTTTCCCAAAAATGCTAACTGTTCTGTGAATCCATTAATGACAAGGATGGTTACAGAAGTCAGCTTTGATGCAGACCTCAAAATCACATCACTGCAATGGTGTAACTCCAGATGCTGCAGATAAGGAAGTTGAGGAATATTTCTCAACCTAAAACACTTGGTGATGTTCAGCTTGACTAGAGAAGGGAATTCTTCTCTCCTGTTAGAACTCCACCAATATTCGAACTGAGGGAAATCTATAAAGGTTAGCTCTTTCAATAATGGGAATGCTCTTTCTGTGCCTTCACCATAGAACTCGGGGCCAATATTCTTTACTGCATCCATTCCTTGCAGGTAAAGGACCTTGAGGAAGGGAAGTTTGCCCAAGGTAGGGAGATACTCACATCTTCTGCAGTTAATCACTACAAGTTCAGTTATATTTGGGAGTTTAACAGCATCCATCCATCGTGGAAAACAGGTTCCTGGGTATCCTCTTATAGACAACTTCTTCAGATATTTATGTGGTTGGAGGTAATTGAGCACTTCCTCATGTGTGTCACCATTGTCAACGTTCCTGTTCGAACCATTAAGATAATCTCCCCATGAGAGGCTCAGTGACAGAAGGTTCCGTTTTCCTAGTAAGTCAGCTTCCATTGCATCTCTTGCATCCCTTACTTTCTCCAGATGTGTGATATTAAGCTGGCCACCAAGGTTTAGACTTTGCAGCTGGTTAAGCCTTTCATCTACTTCACTTCCCACAATAAACATTGACAGTGTTCGAAGAAATACAAGTTTCCCAATCGAAGGAGGCATTTTGGTTAGTCTATTGCAGCCATCTATGATCAAATGCCGCAGTTTAGATATAATGGATATCCGACTTGGTAACTTGATAAGATCAAAGCAATTAGAAAGGTCTATCACTTGTAAGTTGCAAAGGCTGCAAACAGTTTCTGGCAATTCCTTAACTTCAGTGTTAGAGACGTCAAGGTATCTCAAAAATATAAAGGAAGAAATAGACTCATGCAACCTTTTGATGCCACTACCACTTAAACCAAGGACCCGCAAGTATTTAAAACTTGAAAACGCAGCAGGAGGAACTTCTCCAAGATCACCTTTTGGAAACACTAAGATGAGGGTTCGTAACTTCTTTGCTTCATATAAATTATCTGGAATTGTGTGTAAGCTGAAATTACAAATGACTGAGGAGTGACGAATATGGGAGAGATTTTGTGCTATATTACCATGTTCCAGCATCATGTACTCATCTCCTACAACAGATTGTGCAAGATCATGAACGATATCATGCATTTTGCACTCAGTTATATTGCCATTATCACTTCTGTGTATGTCTTGAAAGAAAAACATCCATACCAAATCATCAAAATACTCATTTCCAATAAATTCAAGTGATTTTATGCCTTTCGGTGATTGAATTAAGCCTTCTGCAATCCACAGCTGGATTAATTTCTCCTTCTTGATTATGTAGTTTTTTGGAAATATTGAGCAGAATGCAAAACATCCTTTCAAATGTGATGGCATATGACTGTAACTCAACCTAAGAGCAGGTAAGATTCCATTTGCACTTTCAGATACATTCCAAAGATCACTCTCCTGGACAAGCAACCACTCTCTCTCTTCTCTTTTGAAGCGAATTAGACTTCCCAAAGTCTTTGCAGCTAAAGGTAACCCCTCGCACTTCTTTGCTATTTGTTGACCAATTGGATAAAGGTTTGTATGGTCTTCTTCATGACGGGAGAAAGCTCGTTGCTTGAGCAAATTCCAGCAATTTTCATCTGATAGACCTTTCAAATGATGGATGTAAGTTGAGCCCATTACCGATGCAACTTTTTCGCTTCTAGTGGTAACAATTATTGCACTTCCCTCCCCACCATTTCTCAGTAAAGTTCTTAACTTATCCCACTCCTGATCATCTTCATTCCACACATCATCTAAAACTAACAAATATCTTTTCCCAGACAATAATTCCCAAAGTCGAAACTGCAGTACATCCATCCCAAACAGGTCGCATTTATTCTTACTTGCAGATTCAAGAACTGATGTCATAATTCTTTCAACATCAAAATCATCATTAACACTTGCCCATATCTTCATATCAAAATGTCTTGCTACCTTCTCATCATTGAAAGCTAATTGAGCAAGTGTTGTTTTACCAAGACCACCCAAGCCAACAATGGAGATAACTGAGACTTCTCCTCGTAATTTATCATCTGTTGATAATAAAACCTCCATCACCCTCTCTTTATCTTCTTCTCTTCCAAAAATTTCTGATTCAATTATGAAGGAGCCCGTTCTTCTACTTCTACTTCTACTACTATTTACAACCCCCTCACTTAAATTGAAATTTGATCTCTCTTCTGCTAACATTTCTAATGTCCCCTTGATTTGCTCCAGTTTAGTTAACAAATCACCATATTGTACAAGAGAAGGAACAAAAGTTAATACCTGTTGAGTAAACCCTCCACGATTTCTAGGGAGCAAAGCCTCCGGAGAGAACTCATCAAGCAAATCCTCCATCTCGTAAGCAACTTCCTTGAGCTCTTCCAACCAAAGCTTCAAAGCTCTGTCTGTTAACTGTCGCTCTTCTGCTCCTTGAAGAACAGCTTGGATTACACATAAGGTACGTTGGAGCTTCTTCACCTCCTTCCTCAGCCCACATCTATTAGCAATTTCTTCCAGAAAAGGATTTGCCAGTTTTTCAAAAACCACCTGTAGAAGAGGTGATAATAGTATTTCTGCCATGTCCACTAGCTACACTTCTTCTTCTTCCGCCAGATTATTGACTGTTACTCCCTTTTAGAGGAAATTAATAAATGATGTTACTTCATATCTGTAACTTTGCTAACACATGGCTTAGAAAAAGTGGACTGTGGAAGACTATGAAATTTCTGCTGGTCTTCCTAGTTACTTCCCACTACGACCAGTTATATATATATATATATATATAAGACTTTCTATCTTTTCTTTTAAATTTATAAGATTTATTAATGAATAACAATCGGTGTTAAAAAAATTATTACTGTACTCTAACTCTGTATACACACAATTATATTATATTAAGATATTAGCACAAAATATCTATGCCTTATAATTGAAGAAGAAATTATGATAAATGAAATATCATAAAAGAGACTAAAAATGAAATGGATAAGAAGGGACTTCGGTATTATTGATTCTTAATATTCTTAAAACTCTCAAAGCTCATATGTCACATTCATCTCATAAATACAATGCCACTAGAACCAATTACGTTAAGCTGAAGAAAAGCTAAGTAAACAAAATTTCCTTCACCAAACCAGCCTCTTCCTTTCATGTAAGAGTTTAATAAAGATGTGTGGAACCTCCACTCTCTTCACAACAGTATAAAATTATATGTAAAAGCAATAAATAAAGGAACGCGGTACACAAATCTTAATTAATCCCTTAAAAGTTAAGGTCCTAAAATCTATAAATCTTTCGTAACTAATTACCCAAAAGTTTCACCTGACCACTCAAAAATGGTTAACTATCTCTACTTTTTGGGCGCTTTTGTTTCGAGGAATTTTTTATCACTTAAAATATTGGATTACCACTAAAATAGATTAAGATATGATTAGCATTAAAATATATTATCTTGAAGATTAATTGGAGAATGTTATAGAAATATGTTTGATTAGATTGGTGAGTATAAATAACTAATATGTTTAGTTGGGAGGAATAAAATATTATAAAGGGGTTTTTACTAAATTGCCCTTCCTCGTTAATATGATTATTATTATTTTGAATATATTTTTTAACCCTCTACATTTGAAAATTTAGCTAAAACACCTCAACAAAAGTTTGAAATTTAACAAAATACACATAGCCACCCAAGATGACCACCGGCTACCAGCCACCATCGTCGGTGATCGTCGCTAGAACGACGCACAACCCACCGAGTCTGGCCAGCCTTGCGTCGATCTAGCCATTTTCGACCAGATTGAAGGCCGAAAATGGTAAGATGGCCATAGATCTGACCAGAAAGCCATATCCATTATGGCGATTAATGGCCAAATCTGTGGCCGTTAACAATCGTGGACCTAGTCAAAAACGGCAAGATATATTCTGGTTGTTAACGGCCATAATGGATCTAGTCGTTTTCGGCCAAATCCATGGCTATCTTGCCATTTTTCACCTTCGATTTGACCGAAAATTACTAGATCTAGCCGGTCGTGCGCCGTTCCGACGACCGCTAACAACGGCCGACGATTGTGGCTAATGGCCGACATTTGTCTTAGGTGACTAAAGATATTTTGGGAATTATCCATGTAAATTAGGGGTGGAAAAATCCGGTTAACCGAACCGGTTAACCGGATTCTTGAACCGAACCGGTTTTTGGTTTACAAAATAAACTAAACCGAAACCGGTCCGGTTTCGGTTATTAACCGGTTATAAACCGAACCGAAAATTCGGTTCGGTTAACCGGTTAACCGGTTTTTAAACCGGTTAATAAAATTAATTGGGTTCGGCCCATTTCACACACTCACTCCACTTTGCACTTTTTTTCCAGGTTTCTATTTTTTTTTTAANGGATGCCGAGATGGAGAATTGAACGTGAGACCGTGTACTTACCCACACTTTCCCAATTCATTCTAACCATCTAGACTACCCACATATATATCATATCAAAATATTGAAATTAGAAAAAAAAAAAAAAAAAAAAGAGTTAAATATAAAAAATCTGTGTTTTGATGCATTATTTTAAGGGGTCGAAACATAAAAGTGAAATTACAACAAGGAGCCGTTTGGATCGGGGGTATATAAGATAACGGGGGCAATCTTCATTTACTTTGCAAGATTTCAGTGTTTGGTTTGCAAATAATAAAATATTACGGTAATCTTTTATTGTAAATAGTGTTTACTATTGGTAATGTAAGGGATAATTTTATTACCTTGCTAGGGGGTGTTATTAAAACATTACTGGGGAAATCTGATTCTTCTACCCATTTTGCCCTTGATTAAAAACCATTTCAGACACAATTGTCCTTAAATATCTACCAAATAATAATTACCCAGCCCCCTTACATTTGAAAAATTAGCTTAAAACACCCCAACCACAAAAAAGTTTAAAAGTTAACAAAATACCCCAGCCACTGCTGGTCGTGACTCACCACCTCCCGTTGTCGGTGTCAGTCAATGTAATGGTGCACAACTAGCGGGATCTGACCAATCGTGCGCCAGTAAGCCCTTTTCCAGCCATGGATCATAGATTCATGGTTGGAAACGGTCATATTAGGCATTTTTATGGCTGGTTCACAGCAAAAGATTTGACATTTTCACGGCCAGATCTATGGACGTGAAATGGCCATAGATCTGGCTGTTTTTCTGCCGGCGCACGACTGGCCATATACAGCCAATCGTGCGCCATTCCGTTGACTATTGGCGGTGGTAGTTGGTTGGCTTCCGATAATGGCTTAGGGTGGGTGGGGGTGATTTTGCTACAAATTAAAGTTTTATATAGTTGTGGTGTTTTCGCAAAATTTCAAATGTGAGGGTTAAAAGAAATGATTCAAAAAATAATAATAAAAAATACTATTATATTAATATTTAAAAAGGAGGGCAATTTAGCAATCTATATAACATACCCACCCTTTATCCTCTCAACCAAACATATTATTCACCAATTTATTTGAACCAACCAAACACATTTTCTAAACATTCTTAGTAATCTTCAAAGTGATGTTTCTTTCCGTTAATATAAAATTCTCCTATAATAAAACATTATATGATCCAAAGTAGGGGTGGGAAATTCGGTTAACCGGATTCTTAAACTGAACCGAATTTCGGTTCAAAAAAATTATTGAACCGAAACCGATCCTGTTTTGGTTATAAACCGAACAGAAAATTCAGTTCGTTTAACCGGTTTTAAACCGGTTATATATTGGACTGCATTTTTTGGCCCAATTATGAATTATGGGCTGCATTTTTTGGCCCAATTCGGTCACACTCCTCTTTGGCCCATTTTTTTTTTCCAATTTTTTTTTTACTTGAATTAAAATTATATTTATTGTAATTGAATAATTTGAATTCATAAAATTTTAATGTACATTAAATATTAATAATTTAAAATTACAAATCAAAGATTGCAAAAACAAATACATGATACAGACTCTGATTTCAAATTATAAAATACACAAAGACATTTACAAATCAAACATATCCAAACTAAAAAATAGTCCCCTGTTGCCAACTTAGTTTCCACCCTAAAATTACAAATCAAACACATGAATAAAATAAGAAACATATTTCTAGAAAATCTAAATCAAACACATGATTAAAACTAGCAAACACATTTCCACAAAACAAACATAACAAACACGTTTCCACAAAACAAGCCTAAGTACACAACAAGCACATTTCCAAATCAAATAATGAAATGCAAACTTAGAAGATACACAAATAGAGTTCATAAAGACAAATATAAATATAACAAATCCATTGTCAACCGTCAAACTCCAAGCACATGCTAATCCATTGTCAAAAGTCAACTGTCAAAACCAAAAAAGTTCCACAACTTGTTAGGTATCTTCCATTTTAAATTTCTTTTTTTTATATGTTTGTCCAATCAAATGTAGAAATTAATAAATAGAAGAACAAATGAAACTAAATAAAGTCATAGTATATACCTTGTTATTGGAAATTTGGATTGCCCTTCAATCATTTAGTTGAGGACGAGTACTTTCTACTCTGAAAGATAGAAATTCTGCAAAAAAAATTGGATAAACACATAATTAAATAACTGAAAGTATAATTAACAAATCCAACACATACATAATTAATTAATTGAAAGTAAAACAAAAATTTTACCCGACTCAATTTTCGTTAACTCATCCAAGGTGTCCTCAATGGCTAATGGTGCACGCGTAGTCCGAATCCAATCTTGTGTGCAGATAAGAGCTTCCACCACTTTCGTAGTAAGGGAGCTACAAAATAGATCCAATACACGACCCCCCGTATTAAAAGCCGACTTAGATGCAACAGTTGAAACGGGCATAGCCAATACATCTCGTGCCATCAAAGAGAGAACTGGATATTTTGTTGAATTCATCTTCCACCATTTCAAGAGATCAAATGTCTTGTCATCGTCATTTTCAACGTCATCAGCCAAATATTTATCCAACTCTGATTTAGACTTTTTAGCTTGCCTTTCAATCTTTCTCCTTTTAAACTTAACCCTCATGCATTCTTGAGGATCAATATCACCATCACCATGATCAACTGCAGTTGCACGTGAAGATTGCTAACTTGACTGTGTAGTAAGAGGCCCAGCCACCTTACAAAAATTGTAATGGTTAAATAAAGACAACAAAATTTCCATCACTTTGTTCTTTAACTTATCAGCAGTAAAAACATCATAGGACTCATCAATCACCCAATTAACATATTCTAACTTGTCCCTAGGTTCTAAAACAGCCGCAATGAATAACATTATGTTGATATTATCAACATTTGACCAATATTTGTCAAATTTTCCCTTCATCCATATGGCCATAGAACTTAAGCTAAGATCAGGACTATGAGACCATTCTGAAATCTTCATCCCAATGTTATATATCTATCGCATGTACTCATTACCAGTTACATAAAAAGAGCCGGACACACGTATGGTAGCATCATGGAAAATTTTCAGAAATGGTAACAAGTACCGGGCATATTCCCAATCACTAAACGTAGGCAAACCCTTTGACCTGTCCCCACTAGAAAGCTCATCTTTGTACTTACTATCTTCTATTTCCAATAATTCAAATGCTTTCTGGAATTTAACTGTGGTATCCAACATCAAATAAGTAGAGTTCCACCTTGTTTCTACATCAAGCACCAAATGACTCTTACTTTCAATTTTTTCTTTCTCCACACACTCCATAAATCTCATTAACCTTGTTGGAGAAGACCTCACATATCTTACTGCAGCACGAATTCTAAATATGGAGTCATCCATATCTTTTAACCCCTCTCTTACAGTCAAACTTAGTATGTGTGCACAACACCTCATGTGAAGAAATTGACCACCCAAGACATTTCCCTACCAACTTGATAACCGAGTCCTAAGATAGCTTATACCCATATCATTAGAACTTGCATTGTCGACTGTTACTGTGAATACTTTAGAAATACCCCAATCAAGTAAGCATCTCTCCACTGTCTTCCCAATGATTAAACCTTTATGACTACTTATAAGACAAAAGTTTAAAATCCTTTTGTGTAGTTGCCAATTGTCATCGATGAAGTGAGCCGTAAGACACATATAGTTGAGGTTCTAACAACTTGTCCATGTATCAGTAGTGAGACAAGCTGTGTGATTGAACTTACTAAAAAACTTCTTTAGCTTTTCACTCTCTTGAAGATAAATCTAGAAACAATCAGTAGCCACAGTCTTACGAGAGGGCATTTGAAACCTAGGTTGTGTCGTAGTCATGACACGGCGAAACCCCTCACGCTCCACAAAATTAAACGGTAGCTCATCGATAATGATCATTTGGGCAATAGTTTCTCTAATAAAATCTTGATCAAATTTCCATGACAACAAGTTCGATTGTGTAGAGGTGGCAGCCTCACTTGAGAGGTCACATGATGCTTGTTGAAAGAATAATGCCTTCTGTCTCTTGTCCACCACATTCAAAGGATACTTTTTACACCTACCTAAGTGGTTACGTAGACAACTTGTACCACTTTTACTTGGACAAGCAAGAACATTCCCACAATAGTTACATGTTGCCGTTAAATCATCCTTATTCTCACACTCATTTTTAGTGAAATGATCCCAAATTTCAAACGTATTCTTCCTATTAGTAGTAGATTTTGCACGTTTAGGACCTGAAGGTATGGGTGGTCTTGGTGTAGGTGCTTCAGTGTCATGTGAAGTGTCAAAAGTGGGTGTGTTGTTATCACTAGTCGAAGATATCTACAATGGCATAAAAAAGGAATATGCATTAACTATTTGTGGTTATTCAATGCCCAATAGTCTAAGGCACCATGCATTTATATTATCCTAAGAATCGAAATCTTGTAACAATCAAAGATATAATCGAAAATTGGAATTGGAATTGGAAATAACTAACATTTCAACATGTACACAAAATTACCAATGTAATAAAGCTCACTAACCTTCTTTAAATCAGTAGTGCTTGGGACTTCCTCACTTAAATTCCTGAAACGATTAATTATACACAAAAATCAATACAAATAATGAAAAAAATAAAATACAATTACACTAAAAATGAAGTAATTAAATTACCCAGGAGAAGACAACTTCTCGTATGCCTCTTTCAGTCCTTCAATAGGATTGCACCGTTTCATTTTGAAAGCTAGAATTCACAAATTAAATGCACTAGAAATTAAGACTCGGGAAAAGTTAATAATCTACAAAGAAAAGTGCAAATTGCTTAGACAATTCATTGATTCTTCATTAACCAGAAAAATAAAGTAGATATTAGACAATTCATTGATTCTTCATTAACCAGAAAAATAAAGTAGATATTTGCATATGGCATAATAAGCGACCTCAAAGTTCAAAAAGAAATCATTAAACAATATATATAAATTGGCACCTATAAATACATACAGTGAAATCAAAGAAAAGGAAAATGAAGTTGAAAAGAATAGTTGAGTGTCAATTTCTAGCTAATACATACCAGTATTCCAGTTCTAACAATTCCTAAAACTTTAGGATCTTTGGTGAACAAATGGCCAAGGATCCAAAAGATACCCCCAAAATTGCAGGAAACACTTGTCACTACTCCTATCTGAAAAAGGAAATGCACATCAAGTTTTAAAATAAATATAAAATCCTGCACATCCAGCACATGAACCTAGAAATCTAGGCTAAAACCTGATAGTTTCAGCACCAGAAACCAAAATGAGAAATCTTACAGAAATCTTACCTTTAACACGAAATTGGTAACTTCTCTGACAGTCTTGAAGTCACCTTTAGATATGTAACTTGCAATCAAGACCTACATTTAGAATTTTTTTTTTTTTTTTGGTCAATAAAACAGCAACTCATGTTAAAGCATCGTGAACTAGTAAAACTTTCAACAATCAACTGTGTTCAAACAGTGTTCAAGTTGACTTCCAATAAAATTGTCTATGAGAATAAAATGTTACGACAAAGATAAACAAGTTGATATAAATAACACTACCAAACATGCAAAAGTAACTGGCATTAATAATTTTTTTGTACTTGACTAGATGTAGCAAGTGCATCAGTTAGAAGAGATACAGCCAACCAGACTTGCATGCATATCTGATGTGTGAGGATTAATTACATAAGGAAAAACAGAGAACCTGTATATCTTTAATCTGTCGGATGAGTTGAGATCATATATTAAAAGTAATCCATAAATTTCTTCAGTTTGGCTACAAATAAACATGAATAAACAAGTGACAACACAGATCTGAAAACCTAGATCTAAAACCCACTGGAAACACAGATCTGAGAGAGAATGCGAGACTTACTTTGTGGTCCAAGGTGAGTGAGCCGTGAGGTGAGTATGACAGAGAATGAGAGACAGAGAATTCAGCTGCGGCGTGGCAGCGTGCAGCGTGCGGCGTGAGGTGAGTCCAACAGAGAATGAGAGACACAGAATGCGACTGGGGCGTGGCAGCGTGGCAACATGAGAGTCCGATAGAGAATGCGGCATACGGCATGCGGCGTGCAGCGGTGAGAAACCTGAGAATCAGAGACTGAGATTTAGTGTAGATCTGTTGTAGACTTGTAGTGTTGTATACTTGTGTGTTAGATTTAGTGTTAGACACGAGAGAGTGACAAGAGTAGACTGTAGAGTAAAAAATGTCAAAACTAAAAAGTAAAAACAAATAAATATTTTTCGGTTCAACAAACCGGTTCTAGGCAACCAGATTTTATTTTACCAAAAACTGAAAACTGAACCAGATTTTCGGTTTGTTATGCCTGGGAAAACAAGGGCTGACGTGGGAAGTCATGTGATGAAGTGTGACCTGCTCCCGTCAGAACAGTAAGCACACGTCAGGTCTGCCAAACGCTATGGAGCTCCCACATGTCCATTTTCCTGCAATAAATCGCGTGAAATCAGCTTGGGAAGGGGGCAATGGGACATAAAGCCAGATTATGTCCTAACACTCACACCAACCCATGGATTTAATGATGATTACACGCCTTCATCTCGATATAAAAAGAAGAAGACCCCTTCATTAAGGGGATTCGGCCATTTTATGCAAAAACTCTCTCTCTTGCAAACTTTGTATTTACTTTTCCTAATCATTTGTAAGCCAGTCCGCTGTTGCGACCTAACCCACTATACTAATACAAATCAGTGGACGTAGGACTTGCTACCTTAGCATCTGAACCACTTTAAAAAGCTCCCATTGCATTTATTTCATATTTTTCTATCCATAATCACGTGTGTCTCTTGACCAATCAACGTTATGCACGTGTCGATTAGTTGGTGTTAGAATCACGCATCAACACGGTTTTTTAAATAATCAAACCGGAACCGAAAAAAAAAAAAACCTGGATTTTCGATCCGGTTTGGTTTTCAGGTTTTTTTTTCCACCCCTAATCCAAAGTACGCCCCCGAAAAGTTATAATATTTTATTATAAAGGCTAGATAAATCTTTGAATACTTTATTAATAGAAATTTTATTGTAGTTTAATTTGGAGGTATTGTTATTTGTATTTGCTTAATAACTTGTTCATTAGTAAATCTTTTGGGTCTTGTTTTACACTTGTTAAAATATTATAAATATATTTCATATCGTCAAATGCAATCATAAATATATTAATTATAAAGAGCATTATAAATAAATACTCATTTTTGTATAACTTTACCCAATATATTATTTATTATAAGTTTATTTACAATTGTATTATTAAGTTTAATTAACCTTTTGACCCCCCCTATAATGAGTGTCTGGCTACGTCCCTATATGTAAGTGAAAGGAAAATATATAGATCATTCATAATGTTTATCCTCACAATATTCAAAATTCAATACAGTAGAAATTTATCGGAAAGCCCCTAATATTAATATATATTTTAAAAAAATTTATAAATATAAATATTTATTTGATAATATTTTTGGAATATGAAAAAATATTTGAAATATGCCTGAACTACTTTTCTAAAAAAANTATCAGAGCTTAGGTTTAGGACAGTGAGTAGCTATTTGTATAGTTATATGCATGTCTAGGAAAATTCTATCAATAAGACGATAAAAGTCTAAGGAGACTGAATTTTGAGTGGGACCATTTGTAACCCCTCCATTGTTTTCTGGGAATTTTCCTGATGCATATTTAATCATTTCAACACATACTACTACCTAGGGCTATAGTTGATTTGTTGGTTAGCTATTGAATATAATAATTTGTGGAGCTTGGTTTTTGGGAACTTTGTTTACCAAGCTAATTGAGTAAGGCATAAATGACATCATCGTTCGAGGCATTATCGTCCGCGGCACCACCATCTGTGCCAGTAAAGATGATAACGGTTTCAAATGCAAAAATTGATGTTGAAAAATTTGATGGTCAAAATAATTTTGGCTTGTGGCAAAGTGAGGTAATGGATAGCTTGTATCAGCAGGATCTAGATATCGTTCTGGAGGAGGAAAAACCAGAAGATATCTATGAGAAAGACTAGGTGAGGTTGAATGTAAAAGCTTGTGGAATGATTCGCTCATGTCTTTGTAGAGTGCAGAAATATTCATTCATGAAAGAGACGTCTGCCAATAAGTTATGGAAGGCGTTGGAAAACAAGTACATGAAAATAAGTAATGACAATCGGCTCTATTTGATGAAAGGATTGTTTCGTCTTCAGTTGAGACCAGGTGCGAATATCAATAGCCATATTGATACATTTAACAGATTAATTGCTAATTTGTTAAATTTGGATGAAACATTCAAAGATGAACATAAAGCTATGTTGTTGATTGGATCTCTTCCGGATGAGTTGGATTATCTTAGTATTACACTTCTTCGTGGGAAAGAAAAATTGTCCTTTGAAGAAGTTTGTTCTGCTTTGTCCAATCATGAAATTCAGAAAAAGTATCAGAAGGAGAATAAAGATGAGTCAGCAGAAGCACTTGTAGCAAAAGGGTTTAGTCAAAGTCAAAGTCGTAAGAAGGAGAGGAGAGGAAGATCTCGTTCGAAGGGAAAACTCAATAGGGATCAATGTGCCTTTTGTCGTGAGAAAGGGCATTGGGAGAAAGATTGTCCAAAGCTGTAAAAGAAAACTCCATTATCTCCAAACAATATTACAAACTTTTGGGCAATACAATAAATACCCAAAACAAAGGGGAGATATAACAAAACTTTCAAACTAAAGGGTCCTTAAAGAAAGAACCCTATACAAGAGAAGTATAATAGAAATACAATTTGAGATACAAATAACAATGATTTGGGTCCTTATACATAGGTCCCAAAAGTTTCCCACTTTTCATTCCTAAGCAATATAGGACAAACTAATATTTTGGCCTATTACATATAAGTCCCTAAACCTTTTTCCATTATCACTTCTACCCCATGTGATTTTGCTAAATGAGCAATTTTTCAACAAATCTCCACCTTGACGAATTAGCAAACCTTCAAAGTTTTGTATTCTTATGTTAAAAGTTTCGTATTCAAATGCGGTTGGTAGCTTGATGTATTCAATGGTGTGTACTAGGCCCGACATTTCACATGCAGTTGGAATTGTGAGCAGGTATATGCATGATCCTGGTAAAGGACATTGATAANAAAAGGGGGGACACAATAGGAATAGATTGAAGTCCAAAACTGGGAAATGGAAGTGCTTCTTCTGTCACAAAGAAGGCCATCTTAGGAGAGATTGTCTTGAGAGGAAAAATAAGAAGAAGTATGGAAATGAGGAAGAGGAAGGCAGTGCTAGTGTTGTGTCTGAAGGTTATGAAAGTTTAGAGGTATTAGTCATCTCTAAAGGTAGAAATTGTGATGAATGGATCTTGGACATAGGATGTACCTACCACATGACACCAAATAGGGAGTGGTTTAACTCTTTTCAAAATGTAGATGGTGGAAAAGTTGTGATGGGAAATAATGCAGTAAGTGGCATTAAGGGCATAGGTGCTGTTAAGCTAAGCCTTCACAATAGCCTAACCAAAACCCTCACCAATGTAAGATACATTCCTAACCTCAAGAGGAATCTAATATCACTAGGCACCCTAGACTCAATAGAACTGAGTTACAAGGCTTCAAGTGGAAGTCTTAGTGTAATGAAAGGGTCATTATAGTGATGAAAGGTGAAAAGAAAAATGGTCTCTATGTGTTAAAGGGTAGGACAGATTATGGCATAGTTGCTGTAGGGTCTCTAGTAACACATGACAAAACATTATTGTGGCGTCAAAGGTTGGCACATGTTAGTGAAAGAGGGTTAGATGAGTTGAGTAAGCAGAATTTATTAGGAGGGGAAAAAACTGGAAATTTAACCTTTTGTGAACACTGTATTTTTGGCAAAATGTGAAGGGTGAAATTTGAATTTGGTAAACATTACTCAAGCTCACCACTTAAGTATGTTCACTCAGATGTATGGGGACCAGCTAGACACTACTCACTAGAGGGCTGTAGGTATTTAATTAGCTTTGTAGATGATTACTCTAGGCATGTCTGGATATACTTCCTGAAGACTAAGGATAAGGCATTTCTTATGTTTAAAGAATGGAAAACATTGGTTGAAACTCAATCCGGGAAGAAACTTAAAAGGCTTAGGACTGATGATGGTCTTGAGTTTGTGAATGATGAATTCAATAGTTTCTACAAAAACCAAGGAATTGTTAGCACAAAACTGCTAGAAATACCCCACAACAGAATGGCCTCTATGAAAGAATGAATAGGACAATCCTAGACAAAGTTAGGAGCATCCTGTCAAACTCTAAGCTACCTAAAAAATTCTGGGCAGAAGCTGCACATACTGTGGTGTACTTGATTAATAGAACCCCCTCATCTGCCATAGGTTTCAAGGTGCCCTTAGAAAAATAGACTGGACACCCTATAAAGCTGGACAACTTACGAGTTTTCGAGTGCCTATCTTATGTTCATGTAAAGGATGATAAGTTGAAACCTAGAGCTATAAAGTGCCTGTTTCTTGGATATCCAGAGGGAGTAAAAGGTTATAAGTTCTGGAATCTAGAAACCAAGAAGTGTATAATTAGTAAGGATGTGGTTTTTAGGGAAGAGGTCCTTCCTAGACTAGAATGTGAACCTGGAAAATCAGTTGATAATGACTCAGGATCAGATCTTCTAGAATTGGAAATTCAGGATGTAGTTCCCAATCATCAAGATGGAGCTGATGAGACAAAGGAGAATCCTGAAAATCCTAATACAGATGAATTAGATGAGCAAGAAGAACAAAGAGAACAAGAGCCAGACTTGATAAACTATCAGCTAGCTAGGGATAGAACCAGGAGAGTCATTAAACCTCCCAACAGACTAGGATATGCAAACCTGGTAGCTTATGCACTTCAGGTAGAAGAAGAGCTGAATGATGAGCTTAAAACATTTCAGGAAGCTATATTAGGACCTAAAAAATCAGAATGGAAAAGGACAATCGAGGATGAATTCAACTCATTAATGAAAAACAATACCTAGAGCCTAGTTGATAAACCAGAAAACTGCAGGGTGGTTAAGTGCAAGTGGATCTTCAAAAGGAAACCTGGTCAAACTTCAAAAGAATCACCTAGGTACAAGGCTAGACTGGTTGCAAAGGGAGTCACTCAAGTGGAAGGCATAGACTATAATGAAATATTCTCCCCAGTTGTAAAGCATGCATCAATCAGAATTCTGATTTCTTTTGTTGTACAGTTCAATCTAGAACTGGAGCAACTAGATGTAAAAACAACCTTTTTACATGGTGACTTGGAAGAGAATATTCTGATGGAGCAGCCAGAGGGATATTAAGGACCAGCAGGTAAAGTTTGTCTTCTAAGAAAATCACTTTATGGCCTAAAACAATCACCATGAGAGTGGTACAAGAAATCTGATTCTTTTATGATTGAAATTGGCTTTAATAGATGTCAGTTTGATAGCTGTTTTTTATTTTAAAAGAAATCTAATTTGACTCATACTTACTTGTTGCTTTATGTGGATGACATGTTGGTTGCTTGCCATGACAAAACTGAGCTTACTCGATTGAAGAAAATCCTCAATACCAAGTTTGAAATGAAGGAGCTGGGTCAGGCTCAAAAGATCCTTGGTATTACCATTATAAGAGACAGAATACAGGGAAGCTTGAAGTTGGTTCAAGAAGAATATGCAGAGAAAATTCTGTAGAAGTTCAATATGCAGAATGCTAAGGCTGTCCAAACTCCCCTAGGGCAGCACATCAAACTATCTCATGATCAGTGCCCGAAAACAGAAGAAGAACAAAAGGAAATGTCCATCATTCCATATGCAAATGCCCTGGGCAGCCTAATGTACCTAATGGTTTGCACCAGACCAGATTTGGCATATTTTGTGAGTTTAGTAAGTAGATTCATGAGCAATCCGGGAAGACTACATTGGTCTGCACTCAAATGGATTCTAAGATACTTACAAGGATCAAAATCAGTGGGCATAGTATTCAGTAAGAACAAAGAAGAAAAATATTGCATTAGAGGGTATGTTGATGCTGATTATGCAAGGGACTTTGATAAGAGAAAGTCCACTTCAGGCTTTGTTTTTACATTGTGGGGAAATGTGATTAGCTGGAAATCAAAGCTTCAGCATATGGTTACACTCTCATCAATAAAATCTGAGTATGTAGCCCTGACAGAAGCATCAAAGGAAGCTGTATGGCTCAAAGGTTGTGTGAATGAACTGGAGCTGGAACAAAAACCTGTGGAAATCAAAAGTGACAGTTAGAATGCAATACATCTGTCCAAGAACCAAGTCTTCCACGAGAGGACAAAACACATCGATGTCAGGCTGCATTTCATTAGAGAAATGATTGAAAAAGGAGAAGTCAAGATTGAGAAGATAAGAGGTACACACAATCCTGCAGACATGCTCACCAAACCAGTAACTGCAGATAAACGTAGGCTCTGTATGAGCCTATTACATGTTCAAGCATAGTTCAATATTGCCAAGGTCACTCAGGGTGTCAATTCACAAGCCAAGGTGGAGAATTGTGATGATGATATGGCTTGAAATTGCCACGGTGGAGTCAACATTAGTCAAAGAAAGCAGATTCACAATTTAACTAAGACGGCGTCGTTTTGGCTATCAAACTTAAGTGCCCTATCTGGCACTCGAAACCCATTCTGTTGCAACAAATTCAAAGCTCATCTCTCTTTCTCTCTGGTCCTATTTCAACCCTAATTCTTCGCTCATGACAGAATATTCTAGTGCCCATCTTCTCTAACGGATTGCAGATCATACTAGACAGTTGGAGGATGATCAACAGAGTCCTGATGTGTATAAAATCAAACCAATATGTACGAGAGAAAACAGAACAGTGAGAGCGCTTAATTGGGTGTGTTCTTGAAAAGACTTGAAAAGTTCAATGCAATAGATCTATATAACTGTTCAGCACATACAACCTCTACTGGTACTTTAAATAGCTCACATGGTTCCACTAGTGATATAAATCGTGTTTCCAAAGTTGAGTTAGAAGGTCTTCAAACTGATAGAGTGTCTAGTCCGCTGTATCCTGCTTCACCTACTCTAATGTCACTAGGAAATCCTCATTATCCTTAATATCTTGCCTTAGTTGCACCTCAATAGTTTGGACAGCAGTTTGGTCAGAATTATGGTCAAAATTTTGATCAAGCCCTATATCATAACAAGCCACCTGCCTTTGGAGGAATGTCACATGGCAGGGGTAGAGGTCGAAATACAGGGAGAGGAAAATTGACTTGTCAGCTATGTAATAAAGTAGGACATTCTGCTGGTCATGCTATCACAGATATAACTCTGCCTATAATGGCATGGTTCAATCCTCTATAGCTAACACATCACAACAACAGCCTTACTATGACAGTTCATATCTTCCATAACCCAATAGCCACTTTCACCATAATAATTCTCAGTATAATAGCACTGGACAGCATACACCTAGTGCTCTGCAATATAGTGGATCTGGAGGACTATATCATTCTCAGCAGCAGTCTCACACCACTCACTTTGGAACTCCATCGGAAAGATTCAATTCTGGTGTTGGGTTAGCTGGCGGTAATGCATAATGCTACTGTTAATGGTTTTGGTGTTCCTAGTCAACAGGTGTCTAGTCAAAGCCAAGCTCATTTTGTAAATGCTGGTTCTAGTCCTCATTTAAACTCAGCATAAAATTGGTATCAAAGCCTAGTTCGAATCCTTATTAGGGTTATTTGAAATTTATTTTCTGTCGTTGCAAATTATTCCAAAACTGTCCACTAAATTTGAACTCGAAAAGTTTACAAGGGACAATGATTTGGACTCTGAAGATGAAAATGGAAGCTGTGCTGATTAAAGAAGGACTAGCCTTAGCGTTGAAAGAGGAATCTGAGTTGCCTAACACCATGACTGAAGTTGAGAAGCAGGATGTTCTCAACAAAGATAAGAGCTCCTTGATTTAGGACTAGGTGACAAAGGCCTTCGAGAAGTGAAGAAGCAGAAAACTGATGCTAGATCTGGAACAGGTTAGACTCCTCTTCAATCTAAAGCTATCCCTAATAGACTGTATTAAAACAAAGACTGTTTGGTTTAAAATGGATGAGCAAAAATCTTTAAAAGTAATAAGGATGATTTTTTTGAAACTTATACAGGATTTAGAAAGCATATCAGTAGAGGTTGGTAATGAAGACCAGGCTGTAATTCTTCTAAATTCCTTACCAAAACCTTACTCCAATTTGTAGAAACATTAAAATATGGTAGGCAAACCCCAAATAGAAAAGGTTGTAGAAGCCATTACAGCTAAGGATAGAGAGAACAGAATGACATTAGGCGTGATGGGGAACGTCTCATGGTAGGGGTAGATCAGAGAAGGAAAAGAAAAAGGGGGACACAATAGGAATAGATTGAAGTCCAAAACTGGAAATGGAAGTGCTTCTTCTGTCACAAAGAAGGCCATTTAGGAGAGATTGTCTTGAGAGGAAAAATAAGAAGAAGTATGGAAATGAGGAAGAGGAAGGTAGTGCTAGTGTTGTGTCTGAAGGTTATGAAAGTTTAGAGGTATTAGTCATCTCTAAAGGTAGAAATATGAGGAATGGATCTTAGAAATAGGATGTACCTACACAGACACCAAATAGGGAGTGGTTTAACTCTTTTCAAACTGCAGATGGTGGAAAAGTGTGATGGGAAATAATGCAGTAAGTGGCATTAAGGGCATAAGTACTGTTAAGCTAAGCCTTCACAATGGCCTAACCAAAACCCCACCCAATGTAAGTAACATTCCTGACCTCAAGAGGAATCTAATATCACTAAGCACCCTAGACTCATAGGACTGAGTTACAAGGCTTCAAGTGGAAGTCTTAGTGTAATGAAAGGGTCATTAAGTGATGAAAGGTGAAAAGAAAAATGGTCTCTATGTGTTAAAGGGTAGGACAGATTATGGCATAGTGCTGTAGGGTCTCTAGTAACACATGACAAAACCTATTGTGGCGTCAAAGGTTGGCACATGTTAGTGAAGAGGGTTAGATGAGTTGAGTAAGCAGAATTTGTTAGGAGGGGAAAAAACTGGAAATTTAACCTTTGTGAACACTGTATTTTGGCAAAATGTGCAGGGTGAAATTTGAATTTGGTAAACATTACTCAAGCTCACCACTTAAGTATGTTACTCAGATATATGGGACCAACAGACACTACTCACTAGGGCGCTGTAGGTATTTCATTAGCTTGTAGATGATTACTCTAGGCATGTGGATATATCCTGAAGACTAAGGATAAGGCATTTCTTATGTTAAAGAATGGAAAACATTGGTTGAAACTCAATCCGGGAAGAAACTTAAAAGGCTTAGGACTGATGATGGTCTTGAGTTTGTGAATGTGAATTCAATAGTGTTCTACAAAAACCATGGAATTGTTAGGCACAAAACTGTTAGAAATACCCCACAACAGAATGGCCTTATGAAGGAATGAATAGGACAATCCTAGACAAAGTTAGAGCATCTGTCAACTCTAAGCTACTTGTAAAATTCTGGGCAAAGTACACATACTGTGGTGTACTTGATTAATAGAACCCCTATCTACCATAGGTTTCAGGTGCCCTTAGAAAAATGGACTGGACACCCTATAAAGTTAACAACTTATGAGTTTTCGGGTGCCTCTTATGTCATGTAAAGGATGATAAGTTCAAACCTAGAGCTATAAAGTGCCTGTTTCTTGGATATCCAGAGGGAGTAAAAGGTTATAAGTTCTGGAATCTAGAAACCAAGAAGTGTATAATCAGTAGGGATGTGGTTTTTAGGGAAGAGGTCCTTCCTAGACTAGATGTGAACCTGAAAATCAGTTGATAATGACTCAGGATCAGATCTTCTAGAATTGGAAATCAGGATGTAGTTCCCAATCATCAAGGTGGAGCTGATGAGACAAAGGAGAATCCTGAAAATCCTAATACAGATGAATTAGATGAGCAAGAAGAACAAAAGAGAACAGGAGCCAGACTTGATAAACTATCAGCTAGCTAGGGATAGAACCAGGAGAGTCATTAAACTCCCAACAGACTAGGATATGCAAACCTGGTAGCTTATGCACTTCAGGTAGAAGAAGAGCTAAGATGATGCCTAAAACATTTCAGGAAGCTATATTAGGACCTAAAAAATCAAAGGAAAGGGCAATCGAGGATGAATTCAACTCATTAATGAAAAACAATACCTAGACCCAGTTGATAAACTAGAAAACTGCAGGGTGGTTAAGTGCAAGTGGATCTTCAAAAGGAAACCTGGTCAACTTCAAAAGAATCACCTAGGTCAAGGCTAGATGGTTGCAAAGGGATTCACTCAAGCGGAAGGCATAGACTATAATGAAATATTCTCCCCAATGTAAAGCATTTCTCTCTGGTCCTATTCTAGCCCTAGTTCTTTGCTCATGACAGAAGATTCTAGTGCCTATCTTCTCCAATGGATTGCAGATCATATTGGACAGCTGAAGAATGATCAACAGAGTCTTGATGTGTATAAAATCAGACCAATATGTGCGAGAGAAAACAGAGCAGTGAGAGCGCTTAATCGGGTGTGTTCTTTCTTGTATTTCTTTGGTTGTTACTCTTTATAATCTTGGTTCTCTTGATCAATGAAATACCCTATAGTGTGCCTTGAAGAGTGGATGTAGGCTACCTTAGCTGAACCACTATAAATACCCTGTGTCAATTTCTATTCAGTTCTTTCATGCTTTGCTTAATCTCTAAATTGATTCCATGTTGATTGATAAGTTGTGTTAGCTCATTGATTGATTTGATCAGCTTAGTTGATAACTCTAGTTAGTCACTACAATAACATTGTACCAAGAAGAAAAGGGTTTAAATCTTTATATTCTAGGAATAGAATATATTAATTCATTCCTATCAAATAGTTCGGTAAAAATTTTATCACACTTATTGCTAGTACAGTATATATAGGAAACAGATATCTAAAAATTCTTGAAGAAAAGTAATCTGCTCAAGAAAGTCTCATAGCTTTATAATTAAATTCATGCTCCCTTGTTTAGTTTCCAATCTTGGTCCTTGGATGTATGCCCCGCCCCACCAACTTTTGTAAAGCCTTTGTTTTGAGCACGTACATGCATACTGTTACTAAGCGTCAGTTTCTTGAGCTTTCCGAGATTCTTGATGACAAGAGGGGTTAGCCACCAAGAAAGTGAAAGATGATCCACCAAGAAAATGAAAAATGATTCATTTTATGTCGGTGGAATTTCATCGAATACTAACCAATAGTAAATGTTTATGAAAG